ATTGAACTCAGGACCTTGTGCTTGCAAGGCAGGCACGGTACCACTGAGCTAAATCCCAAGCCCATAAATTATTTTCTTTCTTTGTTTTTTTTTTTTTTGTTTTTTTTTTTGAGACAGGGTCTCACTTTGTAGTTTAGGCTGGCCCTGAATTTACTATGTAGCCCAGACTGGCCTCAAACTCATGGCAATCCACCTGCCTCAACCTCCTGAGTGCTGAGATTACAGGCCACCATGCCTGGCTAAATTTTTTTTTTTTCCCTGGTACCAGGGATTGAACTCAGGACCTTGCACTTTCAAGGCAGGCATGATGCCGCTGAGCTAAATCCCTGGCCCCAAATTTCTTAATTTATACTGAGAAATTAAACTAAAGGGCTACAGTGTTAGATGTCCATATAAATATATTGGAAGAATAGACTTGATTTGAATAAAGTTGTAAGGAGACCCAAGACTGGATACTTAGAAATACTTTCTCTGCTGGACAGAACTGATACAATTCTTATATATGCCATCTCTTGACAACTTTTTCTTTCTCCCTAGTTATGACATTTTATTGATGGGTCACAATTAACTTTATCAGATTATAGTTAATTATAGTTTTCATTCCCTCTATAAAATTTAGAAAACACCATACATGCACATGCAGCACATTTTCTAATCATCTCATCTCCAGGGGAAGTTTTTGGTACTGGGGATCAAACTCAGGGCCTTGTGCTTGCGAGGCAGGTGCTGGAACCACTGAGCTAAATCCCCAGCCTTCCAGGGGAAGTTTTAAAAAGCTCTTTACTGGGCCAGGGATTTAGCTCAGTGGTTTCGCCGCCTGCTGCGCAAGCGCAAGGACCCGAGTTCAATCCCCAAAAAAGCTCTTTACTAAGGCAGCCCTCATATGTACAACTAGAAGAGGGTTCCTGTTACATTCCTACTCAGCTCCAACAATTGTCCACATCCTGCTGGTTTAGGAATTAAAAAAAAAATCTGTCCTATCCTCCTCCAACACACACCTGTGCAATTTCCCCCTAGCATATTTTAAACCAAATTTCTAAATCTTATCTCTAAATCTCACCACTAAATTTAGGCATCATCCTCTGTCTAGAATGTATTCATACTCCACAAAGTGAGTACAGATATTCTCACTGTAGAGCCTGCATCAGCATGAGGTTGGGAGGAGACACTCTGTGGATAGGTTGTAGTCCAGTTCTTCTGCAAGGAGATTCTCAAGCCCAAATCCTGGATCCCACCCCAGACCCATGGTCATGGGAGTGGGGCCCAGACATCTGCGTATTTCAGAGGTACATGAGGATATTGGACATGGACATATGGAGGCCAGCATTGAGAAGTCACTGCTGGAAGTACCGTTTAGGTAGTGTCATAGATGTTCTTCTCTGTGCTGGAAGGACAGAGGGTTGGGACCCGGTCAGCTGTGACCAGAGAGCTGAAGACAGCTGACCCCAAGGCCTCCTGGGGCCCCTGAGGAGGGAGGGATGGTCATACCTGTTTTGAGGAGGTCCTGCTTTGGGTCCTGGAGTTGGGTTGGTGGTGGATCTGAAGGGAATGGCAAAGCTTAGAAGTGAAGGGTGGGCAGGAGGGGAAGGGCATCTGGCCCCTGAGCACACCTGTTTGGCTTTGAAGTTGGCAGATCCAAGAATCACTCAGATGCACAACAGACGATGTATTTGAGTGCCCCTCATCCTGGAGTTGGGTGTCCCAGATTATGCGCTATGACTCCATGGAGAAATAGCGGAATATTAGGCAGCTAAAATGGTGGTAGATTAAGGTCTGACCCAGCTTTTAGAACATGCCTGGGGCTGGGGATAGTGGCTCAAGCTTGTAATCCCAGCTACTTGGCCAACTGAGGCAGGTGGATTTCTCCAAGTTTGAGAGCAGCCTCGACTACATAGTGAGTTCAAGTCCAGCCTGAACTACATAGCAAGACTCTGTCTCAAAAAACAAAAAACAAACAAAAAAACCAAAACAACAACAACAAAATGGCTATGTGTGAGCAGTGTATTGTTGGAGGGTGTTCAACTCCTTTTTCTCTTTCCTTCCAGCCCCTGGTCAGTGCCGAACTTACCTGAATCTGGAGCTTCTGGAAAGCAGCTACAGTAGAAATCCTACCATTCTTTTGTTCCCTTTCCCTGGGTTGTAGACTGAGAAGTAGCTGAGCTTAAAGAACTGCTCCGCTCTAGCATATTCCAGGACAAGTCCCACTTCTGTTCTTTCTCAGCCATTCAGGTGAGACCCTCATCCCTGTCCTTTCTCATCATGACTCCCTTGTTTACTTGCTTCTCTCAAACCCCAGTCTCTGTTTCTTTTCTTTGACATGTTCCTCATTAATGAGCCTTCTCCCTATTGCAACAGTCAGGACAAAATCATCTGGGTTGTTCACCTTCTCTACTCTTCTCCTTTATCCAACTTTTCTTCATCATGAAGAATTATTTTTTGGTACGAGGGATTGAACTCGGGACCTTGCGCTTGCGAGGCAGGTGGTGGAACCCCTGAGCTAAATCCCTGGCCCCATCATGAAGAATTTTACAGTGAGAGATCTGCGATGATAGTCTGTCAAAAATGCAATGGACAGGTCATACAACAATGTGATAAACTTAGGCCTCCTTTGAGCATATAGTGTACTTAAAATGAGGGCTGGGAGCCAGGTGTGGGCATACCCTTGTAATCCCAACTACTCTGGAGGCTGAGTCAGGAGGATTGCAAATTCAAGTTTAGCCTGGGTGACTCAGACCCAGTCTCAAAATATTAATTAATATAAATCAATTTAATTAACATATAAATTGATGTGGTTAATATTAATTGATATAAATAAATTAATAGTTAATTACAATGAAAAGGGCCTGGAATGTAGCTCAATTGTAGATCACCCCTGAATTCCATTCTCAGTACCCTAAAGAAGAGAAAAAGGGAGCATAGCTATACCTGGGGGGTATAGCTCAATGATAGAGCACTTGTATAGTATGCACGAAGCCCTACCTTTGATCTTCAGCAATGAAAAAAAAAAAAAGGTTAAAATGGTAACTTTTTTACTACAACAAAAAAGATCCACCAACAGAGAAATACAGCGGAAATAATTCTTCGAAACACTTAGAACCCCTGTTACATACTAGTGATGGGTTAGGGATTAGGTCTGCTATAGGAAGTGAGTAAGACCTGCTTCCTGTGGTCCAGGAGCTCCCAGCCTCCATGGGGAGAGAAATGCATAATCTGTTAATTGAGCTACACAGTTCCAGTGACACACATGATTGACATGTGAACAGCCTGATTTGAGTCAGGTTGTGAAGGGCCTTGAATGCTTCACTAAGGAGACTGGCTTTTTTTTTTTTTATCCTATGGTAATTTGGGGCCATGAATGGCTTTAAAGCCAGAGTATGCACGCATGAATAGATTTACTGTAATTCCTAATGGCCTAACACCATACATCTGCTTTGTGTGGATTGTGTAAAAGATTAATAGGTTTGATAAAAAATTGATCCCCTGCAAAACACACTCATATCATGTTTCTCTTATTAAATATACTTACGCTCAGGAAACAAAGAGTTGATGTGTGCATGTATGTGTGTGGTGTACTGAGGACTGAACCTGGAACCTGTGCATGCTAGGAAAGCACTTTGTCACTGAGCTACATCCCCAGCCCAACAGGGTTGACTTTGGTGAAATGAAGCCTATTCAGAAGCCTTAGGCACAGATCTGACAAGTGTTGCCTAAGAGACGTTCGTGGAATACATTCAGAGCTGAATGGACTGAGAGAATTGAGGAAAGCCTCCGGGAGGAAGTGGGCTGCTACAAAGAAGAGGAATTAAGGAAGCCAGTCAGGAAGCTGGAAATTGAGGGTGGAGGAAGGGAGCCGTGGGCAGGGCCAGATGGCAGAGAGGTTTGCATGCCAAGTCGAGGGACTTGAGTCTCCTCCTTGAAGATGACGGCAAGCTGTCAAAGGCCCCGTTGATGACATTGATGAGGACTGAATGTGTCTACCACATACCAGGGGCTCATCTAAGGGTTTACCAATTGTTACCTTATTTAACCCTGACAAGCACCATGGTTATTTAGATGGTTTATATCACATTGGTGACCTTGTGAGGACAGTGAACCAGACCAGTCTGGATGCACAGATTGTGGTGGCTCGGGAGAAATGGGATAGGAGAAATGGGAAGGAAGTGATCGAGTTGATATTGAATTATTTGTGTGCATTCAATTCTTTCACACTTGTGGTTTATTTTATGGCTTCAAATTTCTGGGCATACATTTTATTTGTGCTTGAAGAGAATGTCTTCCTCTATTGTTGGGTGGAGTTTCTATAAATGTCATCAGGTCAAGTTGGTTGATAGAGCTTCTCAAGTCTTTCATAAATTTGATCATTTTCAAGCTACTTAAATTGTGGATTTGTCTATTTCTCCTTTCAGTTCTATATCCTCTGACTGATAAATTCCGTACAGTCAGGAAGGTACTATGGCACAGGCTATAGAACATTTGATTGGGATCGTAAGAAAGGTTTTATCTCTTTAAATTTACTACAGAACGCAGAAACAAAACCGAAATCACTACTAACCCAGCAGGCCTAGTAAAGCGCAGGACAAGTGCAAATAAGGGAGTCCGGACTTTCGGCCACGCCCCTTTCCCGGGTTGGCAAGGCAACTGCCAATCGATGATATACTCACCTGTGCGGGCGGGGACTGAACAAGAGCCAATGGGACACGGGGAATGTGGTCCTACGGGCCAATAGGTTGGGCGAAGGGGCGGGCTTGTGATGAAGGGACGGCGGTGGGAAAGATGGCGGTGGCTCTGTGCTCCTCTGGGTGGTGGCAGCACTGGCGGCGGCGTTTGTCGGCTAGGGATGGGTCCAGGATGTTGCTCCTTCTTCTTCTGTTGGGGTCAGGGCAGGGGCCACGGCAAGTCGGGGCGGGTCAGGCGTTCGAGTACTTGAAACGGGAGCACTCGCTGTCGAAGCCCTATCAGGGTGAGGCGCCCGGGCCGAGGTGGTCTTATGGGGAGGGGGGCTTCGCGACCTGCGCTCCTAGGAGGTAGCGGCCTCCCGGGGCTTCTTGGCTCAGAGGAAACAGCCGGGGGGTGGTTAGGGACCTACGTTTGAGCGCCCCAGTTCCGAAGGGCAGGGTCCTGCCCCCTCCCCTTCTGGAGTCCTGGAAGTTTCCAGTAGGTCGAGGCTGGGCGCTCCGATGCCACCAGCAGTAGGAGCGACTCAGGAAGCTCGTGGTGGACGGGAGCAGTGTGGGAAGGTGTGGGCACAGTGAGGAGTGACTGGGAGCCACCAGCCCTGAGCCAGGATCACGGTGGAGCTGTGAGTGTGCCAGAAATAAAACTGGAGAAAGAACTGGGGTAGAACTTGGCCAGACTGAGAAGGAAGATAGACTCCTGTTGCTCGTTAGAATACTGTCTTTCCGGACCAGGATCCGTAATGAAAAAGGCTGGTTAACTTTGCCGTGTTTAGCAGTTGTAGGACCCTAATATGCATAGCTTATTGACCAGAAAATGGGTACAGTTAACAGCAAAGGGGGCACATCAGTGAGATGGCTTAACACAAGTCCTTTTCCCCACTGAAGTGCGGATATGGGAACAGGAAACAAAAAGAATATACATTACCACTACTGAAGTATCATTTACTCACCCAGCAGCTACATTGCCTCCCATGTGCTGGTCATACTGCAGGTCCTACAGAAACTAAGTTTCCACTCTCTAGGAGCTTGTAGTCTGGGGATGGGGAGATGTAGCTCATACTTAAAAGATTAAAGAATTAAACCCACAGGCCCACTGGGGCCAAGCTCTTTTGAGGAATTTTTTTTCTTTCATAGAACTAAAGTTCATTCATATAAAATGGGAATAGATCTGAGCTATAGTTACTGTGGCATGCATGAAGTGATAGCTCTGATGTACTTTGAGGTCTTCATCAGAGAAGGGCCTTGTGAAAGGAAGCTGTAAAGATGGTAAGGATTTAAGATTTATGTGTTGTGTGGTGGCGTACTCCCAGCTCTGGGGAGGCTGAGGCACGAGGATCACCACAAGTTCAAGGATAGCCTGGATTACATAGCAAGACCCTGTCTCAAAAAACAAAACCAACCAAAATGAAAATATTTATGTGTAGCCAAGCACAGGCATGTAATTGTAGTCTCAACTACCTGGGAGGGTGAGGCTGGAGGAACACCTGAGCTGAGGAGTTTGAGGCCAGGCTGGGCAACATAATGAGACTCTTAAAAAAAAAAATTTTTTTTTTTTAAAAGTGTGACAGAAGGTAGGAGATTGAATTGAGTGACGTGAAAGGGGAAAAAAAAAAGATAATGGCTCTAACTCTTGGAGGATCTGTGGTAGGTCTTTGAATGGGTTGGAAAATATGAACTGATCCACTTCCTCCCCATAGGTGTGGGCACGGGCAGTTCCTCACTGTGGAATCTGATGGGCAATGCCATGGTGATGACCCAGTACATCCGCCTTACTCCAGATATGCAGAGTAAACAGGGTGCCTTGTGGAATCGGGTGGTAAGAAGGATTTTTTCCCTGCTGTGTGGCTGACAGCTCCAGATTGTCTTAAAAAGTTCAACAGTGTCGTATTGACTTACTGCTATTGTCTGTCTTTAGTATTCAATTTTTTTGTAGATACCAGGGATCTTTATTTCAGAAATTTCAGTAACCTTTCTAATAGAGAAATCAGATACTTAGGGAAATGCTCTCCATTTCCCTAATTATAACAAACAATTCATTTTGAATCTGTTTTCAGAAATGTCATTAATTTCAGATTGACCCAATAGCACTACTTACTGGGGTTTAATAGCATTCTTCTGTTTAATTATTTTGCTTTATAAAGTGGAACACTAAAAAATACAAAAATAAGTAAAGAAAGAAGACTAGAGCCTGCAAGGTGGAGCACACTTACAGTTCCAGCTTCTTGCAAGGCTGAGGCAGGAGGATTATTTGAGTCTAGGAATTCAGCACCAACTTGGGTAACATAGGCCTTGCCTCAAAAATTAATAAAATTAAAAAAAATTAAAGCAAAATAAATTCATCCTAAACTTGATCCTAATAGTCTTCTCTTGTTATTTCAGTTTGAAGAATAATTTAAAATTTTATTTATTTATTGATACTGGGGATCAAACTCAGCTCAGGACCTTGTGCTTACGAGGCAGGCAGCAGCACCACTGAGCTAAATCCCCGGCCCTAAAATTTTATTTATTTATTTTTAAAAATTAATTAATTTATTTTTTGATACCGGGGATTGAATTCGGGTCCTTTTGCTTGTGCAGCAGGTGGCGAAACCACTGAGCTAAATCCCTGGCCCCCTAAAATTTTATTTTTGACAGGGCGTGGCGGTGCTCACCTGTAGTCCTAGCCCTTGGGAGGCTGAGACAAGAGGATCACCGCAAGTTTGAGGCCAGCCTGAGCTACATAGTTCAAGGCCAGTCTGAACTACACATGAATCCCATCTCAAAAAAAAAATTATTTTCATATGGAAAATCACTGAGCTATTGGTTATTTTGTTTATCCTTCTCTGGACTTTTTATAGCTACATTGTCTTTCTTGAGACAAGAAGTGAATGCAGTATTCCTGGTGTGGCTGCACTGTGATTTTGTACAAGTGTAAGATGATGCTTTCTTTTTGGTTTCCAGGGCACTGTCTAAATCTTTTATGACCATGTTACTTTTGGAGATCATTTTGGCATCATTTAATCATTTGATACTTTCTCTCGGGTTCCCATAAGTAAAGGAAAAATAATCTTTTTTTTTTTTTTTTTTGGTACCTGGAATTGAACTCAGGACTTTGCACTTGGGAGGCAGGTGGCTGCCCCACTAAGCTAAATCCCTGGCCCGAAAAAATAATCTTTTACATGGTTCTTCTCATTAGTTGTAGATGAGTGAACCTCAGAAAAGAGAACTCTTTTCTTTTCTCTGTTCATTTTCTGAAGCAGAAAATTCTCAAGGAGTGGAGTGAGAAGTTTCTCTCAGCTCTCCGCACAAACTGGCCCTGTAACCCAGATTTTAGTGCTGAGCTCATATTTGGACAGTGCAGAGCACAGCAGCAGATGTAAAGGGCAATTGAAAGACATGGCTTCTAAATCCAGCTGTGTCACAGACCCACCGTGGGCCCTGAGCAGGTTATCTACCCTTGCATTTTCCCTTTCTCCATCTTTCACATGAGCTTCATAAGACCTATTTTACTTGCCCACCAAGGTTGTTTTGAGAATAAAATAAGACAGTAGACATGAAAAGATTTTGGAAAGTTAAAATGGTTAGAGAAATTTGTGTTGATGTTTCTCCTGTTACAAGTTTCATTGACGAGACTCTTATGGGGAATTAATGATTACGTCCAAGGTTTAAGACTTTGCTACTGTCTTAGTAGCTGTCTAAGCAGCAAATTCTAGCCTACAGTCTAGTTCTCCTGCCCTTTTTCAGATTTCTGATACCTGTGGTCTCTGTTTCCTGGCCATCAGAAAGAGCTGTGGAGCTGTTTCTGAGTTTATTTGTGCAGGATATGTTTGTTTGGACAGTAGTTCTTAAATTTGGTGTTGGTGTTGACACCTGGGTCCCACCTCAGAGCTTCTGATGTAATTGGAAGAGGGTGCACTTGGCCATTGGGATTTAAAAGGTCCCTATGGAGATTCAGTGCAACAAAATGTCAGAATCACTATTAGTCACAGCCCTGAGGAAAACCACAGAGCTTTGTGTGCCTCTTGGCTCAATGTGACTTTAACTGGCTCTGCCTTCCCAGTGGCTTCATAGCTATCTACTGGCTGTGAAGCAGCTTTCTGCCACTGAACTTCACCTTGTTGTGAAATCCAAAGGAAACAGCAGGGAGATAGGGACTCAAAATGACAAGACAGGGACTGGGCTCATCAGAGTAGGCTAAGGTGTTGGCAATCTCCAGGTTCCTTGCTGAAAGTAGAAGGAGCCAACTCTCTTTCGTTTTGACTTTGTACTCCTAATGCTTTTGGAAAATATCCCAGAAATTCAAAATGAAAAGTGAAAATGATCAAGCAGTATATTTCCAAAGAGCCAGAACAATCTGTTTGTAGAGTCTTTAGCTAAACCCAGCTGGTCTCTCTGCCTCTTACCTTCTTTCTTCACAGTGGACGTTAACCAGGAGCTTCCCTAAATCTCCTTAAAACTGTTAAACTATTCAGAGCACTTAGCCACTTGCCTCTTTCTCTGTTTTTGCAAGGTCTTGATACACAGTTCAAAAAAGAGAAACAGGAGTATGATTAGTATCCACCTCCTAATGTTTTCTCAGCAGAGGCTGTCCCCACAAGTGTGGTGTTCACCTCTGGCACATCTGTGCTTCCTGGCCATGGCATTGAGGGTTTGGGGGACCTCTCATGAGAACTCAGGCTTGTGCCTCACTTTGGTAGAGGGCCAAGTGCAGGTAATTAGAGTTGTTTATAGCATCTGCTAATGATTCCTGGAAACCTTGGCATAATGGCTCAGCTTTTCTTGTTCTTTTATAATAAGGCCTTGACCTTTCTTTAAATCCTAGCTTTTTAGAGTCTTTCTGTCAGAGCAGTGATCTTAAGTTGCAAATGAGGATTAATCCAACCACGTATACCGAGGAGACTAAAATTTTCTTCTGGATGGCATGATCGTGGTAGTCTCTCCTGCCTTTTCCAGCTGTGGAGTGCTGTTCTTTTTCTACTGGGAGATGTTCAAAATAATTGGGCTTTTTATCCACTTTTCATAGTAGATATCTTAAATGGTTGAATGGCTCAATCTGTTTAATATGACTGAACACTTCACAAATCTTAGGCTTTGGTTTTAAGCCTCAGCCTTACAGCCTCATTTATGGTTTCCTGAGTCTACAGGGTACCACTGAGGGCTTGAGGGGTTTGATTTCCTGTTCCTCATTGATCCCAGTGTCTCTTTCACTGCAGCCATGTTTCCTGAGAGACTGGGAGTTGCAGGTGCACTTCAAGATCCACGGCCAGGGCAAGAAAAACCTGCATGGGGATGGCCTTGCAATCTGGTATACAAAGGATCGAATGCAGCCAGGTATTGGGGACCCTGGGTTGCTCGTGTGTGGGAGTGGAGGGCCTACTTTCTCCTGTGCCTTCTTGTGGAGAAGGTTTTCCCTCTCCCTTGATGTCTGTTGTTGAACATGGCCTGTCTAGTCTCTAGCGTGGGATCTGAGTCCAGCTGAGCGTGACTCACGTGGGGTGATTTCTTGCTTGTTAGTTCCTCCTGAGTTTCCCTGTCAAACTTGGTCCATTGGCTGGGCAAAGCCCTGGGTCTCCCAAACACTGCCCGTTGGTGAGCTAGTTTCTTCTGGGCACGTCCAATGAGCAGGCTCAGCACTCTGAGTGAGAGAAGAGTTAGGTATTTTCCATTGCTGTGTGGGTCTTGCTCCAGGTAGATGTCAGGCTCAACCTGATTTGACTTGCTGTCTTTTTTTTTTTTTGGTACTGGGGATCGAACTCAGGACCTTTCGCTTACGAGGCAGGCAGTGGAACCACTGAGCCAAATATCTGCCCCTGACTTGCTGTCTTTTGTAACAAGAAGTAGCACTTGGGAATTCAGTTCTCTCTTGGGGGCACAATCTGCATCGAGTGTTTGTGAAGCATAATTCTGTAGGGGCTCCTTAGCAACCCGTTAGGATCAGGGAGCTGCCACAGTGCTAGCCAGGATCGCAGTGGCCTTCTCTCTTTCCCTGCCTTGAACAGCAAACAACTCCAGATGTTGACCGGGCCCTGGTTACAGGCCCCGCACTCTTCCGGGTGCTTTTACATGTGTGTTCTCATCTTAAGAGAAGCCCAAGAGTCATTTGAATTTCGCCTTTCCTTCATCATAGGGAGATATTATTCTTTTACGACTCTTGGCTTTATTTCATTGTTCATCATCTGTTCTCTCTCTCTAGGGCCTGTGTTTGGAAACATGGACAAATTTGTGGGGCTGGGAGTATTTGTAGACACCTACCCCAATGAGGAGAAGCAGCAAGAGGTAATGGCAAGTGTCAGAGCCTTAGGTCAGCTGCCCTGACGTCACGGTTCTTTCCTTCAGGAGTGGTGTGCAGGAGGGGACAGAGGGGACAGGTAGTGAGGGGTCTTCATCCACTGAACTTCAAAAATTTAATGTCCTTGCCAGTGATTTTTCTAGAACTGTTTATGATTATACAGCCCTTTGGGAATAGCTGTCATGAACAGGTGCTTTTTCTTTATTGTCACAGTGTTCTCTCTCGTGCAAGTTCTGTCACTGGAAATTGAACACACATGGCCAGTTGGTGATTGGCTGTTAGACCAGCACCAGAGCAAGCTGGATTGGTGTGACTCAGCTCCCTACTTTGACTCCATCATGGCTCTGCTTTCTTCTGCAGCTTGCTTGCCCTTTCCATCATCTTTTTCTTCTTTCTCTTCTCTGCCGTGAGCACTTCTCCTTGCCTGTAGGAAAGGCTCCCAGTAAAAGGATGCTGAGGAATTCCAGCATTTTGTTGGAACCCAGCACCTGGCCATCGGCAGACCTTGCATTTTATGAGCTGAGCCTAAGGGTTCTTTCCTATTTTCTTATACTGGCAACAGGCTGTACTCTGTCATATGGCACTGCCATCCGATGGTGGCAGAAGTATTATGACAAGTTGTCACTGAGTGTCCTGTAGCTGCGTAATATTTAACCAGGAAGGTAGGACTAGGAATGAAGGCAGAGTTCACTTTGTTTTTTCCCTCAGGTTTATTATGAAGAATTAAAAACCTATAGAATGAGCATTGTATCTGTAGCACTCTGCCTCAGCAGTTAACATTTCTCACATGCTCACATGAAAGGAGGTGGAAAGTGAGACCCAATTAGAGTAACCTTTTGTTGTAAGTCAGTGAGAGCTGCTTCTCCCTGTCCCTTCTGGGTTTCTCTTTATGCCACACACACAGAACATTTCGTGGGTGTTAGACCCTGGGAATTACTACTGCTGAACAAGACCAGCATGAGCCCTGCTGTCCTAGTGCGGTGGAGATGGGGGATGGGGGAACTCTGGGGCCCTGTGGAGAGGGGATACAGCAGGAGCCTCTGACCTCAGTGGGTGGCAGTGTTGGTGGTAGGGGTGGTTATGGAAGCTATCCTCTGGAAAGTGACATTCATGCTGAAGTCTGCAGGAGAAGGATCCAGTGTTTCACACAGGGAACAGTGTGTGTTAAGGGTCTCAGGTGAGAGGGACCATGTGTGTGAGGAAATAAAGGCGCACAGGATAGGGATGAGGCTAGGGAGAAAAGCAGGCTCAGCAGTCTGTGTACACAGTTCCAGGGCCACTGTTGGCGTGGCATTCTTGAGCACTGCCCTTGTCTCATTTGCCAGCACTGGGGCTAAGTGGTGTCTGCTTGGGTGGTTAGTGGTTAGGTGTGAGCCCAGCACCAGCACTCTGCATGTGACTCATGCTCTTGTGCACAGTGTGGGCCAGGCTCTGGAGGGTCATGTCCTGGTGAGGGTCTGGGCATGATTCTAAGGGGCACATGTACTGAGGACCTTAAGGAGGGGAGCATCTTGACTAGGTTTGTAGTTGCCAAGGAGCCAGCAGTAGCTAGAAATGCATCTGAGAAAATGTGTGGGCTTCAGGGCTTGACAGGAGTTTTAAACCTGGCTCTCTTTGTCTCCCAGAAACAAATTGTTCCACCACTTAGCTTGCATGTTACATGCAGGAAGGTTATAGAACTTGTTAGCGTCACACAACAAACGGATCTGACTCCAGAGACAACAGTTTCAATGTTTTATTTTATTATCTCAAGCACCTAAGCAGAGGGTGACAATTCCTGGGCCTTTTGAAAACTGGCAGATGACTGTGGTTTGTGGCAGGGGGATGTGCCTGTCAAGGCAGCAGAGAAGGCATGAGGAACAGTTCATTCAGTTCCGTGAGGTAGTGGTGAAAACTTGTCTCTCACTTTGTGTAATAGTGAAAGACTCCTTTCCTCATGAAATGGGAAATGAGGGAAAGATACTCACTCTTGCCACTTATGTTCAGCACTGTACCGGAGGCTCTAGCTAGAGCATTAGACATGAAAATAAAAGATCCGGATGGGTGAAGAAAAGGAAAACTATTTTACAAGTGACAGATTATAGACAATCCTAAAGAATCTGAGGAAAACCTATTAGAGCAGGGTAGAGTGGTGCAGATCTGTAATCCCAGTGACTTGGGAGACGAGGCAGCAGGGTTGCAAGTTCAAGGCTGGCCTTGGCTGCATAGTGAAACCCTGTCTCAAAAAACCAAAAAAACAAACAACAAACAAGATTACAACTCAGTGTTAAAAAGAGAACCTAATAAAAAGGCAAAGATTATGAATAGATATTTTTCCAAAGAAGATAAACAAATGGCCAGTAAACACCCAAAAAGATGTTCAGCGTAGCCGTAAGGGAAAAGCAAATGAAGAGCCTAATGAGATACTACTTCACACCTACCATGTTGGTGACATAGAGAAGTGTGGACACGCATGTGGGATGACATGATGCTCTCTTACATGGTGGGTGGAAATTAAAACAGTGCACAGGTGCTTTGGCAAACAAGCATTTCTTCAAATGGTTAAAGATAGTTCATGTGACCCACCAGTTCCACTCACAGGTATACATGCAAGAGAAATGAAAATATAGCTACACAAAAGCTTTTTTTTTTTTGAGAGAGAGAGAGAGGGTCTCACTAATCGTCTCATCCTCCCAGAATGCTGGATTATAGGTGTGCACCATCATGCCTGGCTATAAGAGCTTGCATAACAGCCAAAAATTAGATGCACCTCAAATGTCCATAAACTAAAGAGTAGATAGACAAAGTATGATAGATACATCCATATAGTGGTGTGTATGGGACGTCCATGCAGGCAGAACTGTAGAGAGAGGGGCAGATTAGAGGTGGTCTAGGGCACTGTGGGGTGCAGATGGGGAGAGTGGCTAATAGTGGGCACAAGGTTCCTTTTTGGGATGAAGAAATGTAATCATAATCTTAAATTGCATGTACCAAAGCCGTTGAATTGTATACTTGAGGTGAACTGTGTGGTGTATGAATTATTTCTCAGTATTGCTGTTATTTTTCAAATGTTGGCTAAAACATGGCCTGATCATCTTTTCTTGACACTGTGAATTGATCAGCTGATGAGTATCAGTTTCTTGGGAGAAGAACCTGCAAGTTGATGAGAGCTGCAGGGAGCTTGGTGGCAATTTTGGCGTGGGAACATTTTCCATGGTTGCAATCAAAGTCTGATGGTGAGAGACTTCCTGGGATAAGAATGGCCAGCACAGCCTCGGCAAGCTCAGCCCAAGTTCTTCTCTTGGAAACTTGGGCAAAAGCATTGACTGCAGACTGGGGCAAACAGCTCTCTGGTCTTCCTGGATCAAGGCTTATTTGAGGCACTCCCCATACATAATTTTTTGATGTATTGATTATTTTTTTCTCCTTTAAACTAGAGAAAATGAACAGTACTGTGCCATCCAGTTAAAAAACCCATTGCAGGTTGATGACATAACAAAGTGGTAGAGGGCATGCTTAGCACATCCAAGCACTGGGCTCAATCCCCAGCACCGGCAAAAAATAAAAATGAAAAGTCAAAACACTGTCCATCAAGCTTTTATCTTGATGAAGACACTGATCCCCCTTGGTCTTTTTTCTGTTGGCAGAGAGAGAGTCTCTACATTATTAAGGAACTCAGTACTGTACCTTTTTAAGTTCTCTTGTTACCACCCTGCTTGGGTGTGAGTTGGGTCTTTTCTCAGGCCTACGTAAGTAGTGTTTTTTGAGGGAGACTTGGGCCCAGCCTGTGGAGCACAGACAGGCAGGCTGGATAGATGTGGCTTGGCCTTGAGGCTGGGCTCTCTGCAGACAGCTGGCTGCAGAGGGAAGTGTGGAAATGGAATGGCTTTCTCCTGGTATTGTGTGAAGGCAGCGAGGGGATGGTGTTTCCAGTCTGAGGCAGGGAAAGAAGAAGCAGAAAGCAAGAGCCAGGGCCGAGGAGGATGTGTTGCTTTGGGTTACTCTTTACCTTTCTTGGGGTTTTGACCCTTTTGAGCGTCTGATAAAGGTGTTAGCCCCATAGAAAGAGGCACATACAGTGCTCGCTTCGGCAGTACATACACTAAAATTGGAAAGAGGCACATACACAGGGGAGTGTACATATAATTTTAGGAAGTTTGGACTCCCCAAAGTAGAACTGTAGGCAAGATCTCCTGTTCTATAGAATTGATAGTTCTTCTCATTCACAGAAAGTATCCACATACTGTTGAAATGATGGGCAGTGGTGAGTTCGGGCTGTACTCTGAGACTTAGTGTCTATAGTGATCTGAAGGGGGGTTGTGAATATAAGTGTATGAACCTTAAATTAAAATTTCCTGATTTTGGAGTACTCTATTGAAGCCCTCAAATTGAAGCCCTGCTAGATTTGGGATTATTCTGATGGGGTCACAACTATACATAAGATTAAAGTCATTCTATGAGTTTCTTAGATGATGTGCAAGTATATGAAGGTCTTTCGGGAAGACAGTGGGCCTGGGACTGCATCTTTTCCGTGTCCTCCAGTTGAGGAGCTGTGTGTGAGATCTGGGAACAGGATCACCAGTACAGGTCAGCAGTAGTTTGGGGGCCTATGGAACAGGGGCCTCTCATGCTGCCCTGTAATGTGGGGGTCTTGCTGATCTTGTTACCCACTCTAAACAGATGGTATTGCTCAGTTAACTGTCTCCACTGCATTCCCTTGGAAAGGGCTAAAGGAAAGTATCCAAGGACTAGCAGCTCACCAGCAAGAAAGTCTAAAAAGCAATAGGTCTCTCTGGCAGTGGCAGCAAGGTTTTCCTAGAGTGCTGGGATTACAGATGTGCACCACCGTGCCCCCAGCTGTAGAGGATCTTTAAAAAAGTTAAGTGGCCTCATAGTACCAAAAAAATAATTCTCTAGCCAACAAACAGTAATCCTTTGGACAGTAGGTGGGAATTCCTCATTTCTGGTGATTCTTGAGTTAGGAATGAAACTACCACCTTGCCTGAATGGGTGTGATTCTTCAACCTTTGGTGCCAGCTGTAGGCTGCTTTCCAGGGGAAAAATACCTGCTGCTGCGTTGAAATTAGTGGCTATCTGAGCAACACTTCAAGAACTCCTGCCTGGGAATAGAAAATAAGCTAGTGGTTAAAAGTTGAAGGCTGAATCCTGAGCTGCTGAAGCAGACAAATCGCAGCCATGGAGCTGTGGAGCTCTGTCCAGCACAGCATTTCTTACGTATGGATGCACATCACAGGCTTCTGTGATGCTTTTTAAAAACACATCCTCTTGCACCCTGTTCTAAACTCTGCCAGGACACCCACTGTATGCAGATGGAAGCTCCTCTGTGTGCTCTGAGGGCCCTTTTGTCCCTGGATGTCCCTGCATAATCAGGTGCCACTCCAGTCCTGGAAAGAGCGAGACACCCTTAGCCTAAGAATTGCTGGGCTGGCCCAGGCACTCTGCAGTTGCAGCCTCAACTTTTTTTTTTTTTTGAGACAGGGTCTTACCATGTAGCACCTTGAACTTCCAGTGATCCTCCTGCCTCAGCCTCCCAAGTGCTTGGGTTACAAATGTGGGCCACTACCCTGGGCTACCTTCAACTTCTGATGAGGATGTGGAAATGATAAATGAAGCAAGTCTTGGGGTCATTGGGACCCTCTAGGGTATTTTTTTTCTTTGTTTCTTTTTTTTTTTTTGTCTCTCCTTTAGTTGTTCACGAAAATTATGAGCTTTCTCTCAGCTTAAGAGATTTCTCCAAACTGCTTGATGATATATTCACAGTTCCCTAGTTTCTCATTCTTTATGGCTGAGTAGTACTCCATTTTATTAAAAAAACCCCACATCTTCTTTATCCAGTCTCCAGTTGATGGGGAATTGGGCTATTTCTAAGTTTTAGCTATTACAGACTGTGCCACTATAAACACAGGTGTGCATATATCGCTGCGGTATGATTCTTCTAATTCTTTTAGGAAGATACCCAGCAGGGGAATAGCTGGGTCAAATGGGACCTCTAGTCCTAGGTTTTTGAGGTATCTCCATACTGATTTCTATAGTGGTTGCACCAGTCTACACTCCCACCAAAGTGGAGAAGGTTTCCTTTTTCCCTACAACCTTGCCATCCTTTGTTATTGGTTAATGGGCTGGGGACTTAGCTCAGTGGCACCACGCCTGCCTGTTATTGGTTGATTTCCTGATAGCAGCTATTCTTTCTGGAATGAGGTTCTATCTCATTTCAGTAACTAGAGGATAGCTAAATGGATGCACATTGAGGCCATACTCTTAAGTGAAATAAATAGGACACACGTGTAAATACCGAATAGTTTTCTCTGGTGTGAGAAACTGAAAGTGTAAATAAGGATCAAAATATATAATAGATAATGTGAAATAGGAAGAAAAGGACCAAAAGGGAAGGGGAATTTGGAGGGGTAGGGAAAAGGAAGGAAGGGAAAGGAATAAATATGAGAAAAGGAAAAAATGGAAACAATTTCCTCCTAGTGGTAGTAAACTCATGATATGCATGCCACAGCCAACTGTTTGTTATCATTGAAATCTCTAAAAGGTTCACCATCCTAGTATCCAAATGATACTGTGGAAGGTAATTTAGTGTCAACGGAACCATCTGCTGACTGCCTTCTGCCTTCTGTATCCTGTGTGCACTCTGCCAGCTGCACAGGACAGGGACCCCGGGGAGCTGCTCTAGCCCCATAATATGCCTTGAGGGTCCTGTGGCTCCTGCCTTGCCCCAGCCAGCCTCTGCCTCACTAGCTGGGCTTAGACACCTGTCCTCTTCAAGTCCTTGAATACACCAGCCTCGTGCTCTTTATGCTCAGATCTTTTTTTTTTTTTTTAATAACATTTATTCATCACTTTCTGTTGCCAAGTTCTGTGATAAGCACTTTTCCCCATTCTGTCTTTTGTGGTTGTTTTGTGTGGAGCTGGGGACCAAACCCAGGGCCTGGTTCATGTCAGGCTGGTGCTCTGCCACTGAGCCACATCCTCAGGCCCCTGCTGCAGATCTGGAGTTTCAGCTCCAGTATAGCCTCCTCAGGTAGGGCTTCCCTCATCAGTCTATCACATTGCCTGTGTCGCATTCCTTGTGGTGCCATCACTGTCTGAAATGATTTTGTTTGCCTGTTCACTGTGTGGCGCTTCCAGGAGAGGAGATCCTTGTCTATCTGTCTGTCTGTCTGCCCTGGCCCCAGCATCAAGCCATGCCTGGCCTGCAATGGAAGTGTCAACAGGGAATGCTCCAGGCTGCACACTGTGCCTGCTCTTCCCCAGACCGTGGCTGGGCTGGGCTTGTGTCGTTTTCCTTGGTGCTGGGAGCTCAGAACTGAGGGGGTTTCTGTAGCCTTCCAGATCCTTCATCCTGCTGCGTTCCCACGGAGCTTTCCTGTGCCCACGTGTTAGAGTCAGGATGCCAGCAGTTGCTTGGGAATATGTGTCCATGAGGCTCAATTAGAGGGCAAATGAGCCCTTTGGATTAGAGTTAATTTCATGGTCCCTCAAACAGTGGGATTTTTGTTTCCTGGGTAAAAGCTATATTCTGATACCCTGGGGAGTAAGAGATATCGCCAAGTTAGAAGCCCTGTTTGTCTTGTCTCCCTCTGGCTATAGAGAATGGCAATCTGGGTACAAACTTGGGGCTGTCTGTCTGATTCCCGGAAATATATGGGGGCCTGTCTGGCCAGTGGGATTCTTTTATAAAGCTTCTGAAAGGTTCAAGACTGTCAGGGCCAGAGAGATCTTCCTAGGGGAACTTTGAGAATCTGCTGACACAGACCTTCTCAAAAAGATGTACAAAGCACTGGTTTTCCATATAATTTTGAGGGGAATGAGAAAATGTTGAATGCCATTTGTGGATGCTCCAGTATTGTCCGGGGATCTAGGTTGGTTTGTTCCTCTGTCAAAGCATGGGTCCTAGCTCTTCACAGCTGTTTCTTTCTGACTTGGTCTCCTGTCTTCTGTGCCCTCCTTTGTTTTTTCTAATAACCTGCTGGACCCTCTCAGGCCCAGAAGAGGAGATATTCTCCGGGAGTCCAGGTACTCAGTTCTTGACCGACCCTGGCCACCCCTATTCCCACATGTCACCCAACATCTGTTGCTGCTTAGAGTCCCTTTGGCTGTTGTCTCAGGAGGTCTGGTCTCTGGTCTTGACTGCATCTCCAGCTGCATGTTGAGTGTGGGACAGTAGGGAGCTCACCCAGGAGTGGCATGCCTCCTGTACCACCCCCATCCATCCCCCTCTGCGGTACCTGGCACTGGGCCTGCTCTGGACAGTTGGTTCATCAGGTCCAGGAAGAGCTTGTCCCTCTGCTGTGGAGAGAAGGCCTCTGAAGTAGGTGGGAAACTTGAGTGGGTTGTGGGAGACTTTGTGTTTTCCTCCTATGGGGCAGAATCTGGCCCTCTCTTCATAGCATTGTCGGATGAGGTGTGTGTGGGTAAGGCTGAAGTGGGCTACAAGGGTGCTGGACTAGGAGCACAGTGGCTGAGGCTGGAGGTGCCCTCCACAGCCTCGTTGGCAGGGTCTCCTGAGTCCTAATCCACTCAGCACCATAGTGCTGCTGGTAGGATCTCCAAATTGAAAGGTGCTATCCTCAGTAGCAAGATTGCCCTGCCCAAACAGGTATTTCAGAATGTTTGCTATGTGCAGAACAGCCTTATGTGGGGAAGGGATGGGGCTAAAGTGGAGATGGGAAGAAACCAAAAAAATGATTTGTTTCTCCAAGAAGTAGTTAGGATGTAAGTTTACAGCCATAAAAGGACCTCCAGTATTGGGCAGAGTAGACCTGCCAGATGGGCTCTCAGGGAGCAGCTGAGGTAAACTCCAGGGTCTCGAGGGTCACTCCAGGCCCAGGTCAGGAGCAAGGGTGAGTGTGGAGCTGATGGGTTTCCTGGGCCCAGATCCCAGAGTGACCATTGGGATGCGGGTGCTCAGGGTTACAGGTGACCAGAGTGGCTGTCTGGGCTGCTGTGAGAGCTCAGCTTGTGACCCCCAGTGTTCTGTTGCTGCTTGCAAGCATGCAGCGGGTTCTTCCTCACTGTCTGTGCTTTGGCCCTGCATTCTAGCGGGTATTCCCGTACATCTCTGTCATGGTGAACAACGGCTCCCTCAGCTATGACCACGAGCGGGATGGGCGGCCCACGGAGCTAGGGGGCTGCACGGCCATTGTCCGAAACCTCCATTACGACACCTTCCTCGTGATCCGCTATGTCAAGAGGCATCTGACGGTGAGCCCCGTTGGGACCAGGAGCGCTGGGCTGTCTCCCTCCTGCTCCCAGACCTGCCCTACTCAGCTCTTCCTTCTGACCTAGATCATGATGGACATTGATGGCAAGCATGAGTGGAGAGACTGCCTGGAGGTGCCCGGTGTCCGGCTGCCCCGAGGGTACTACTTTGGTACCTCCTCCATCACGGGTGATCTCTCAGGTACAACCCCGAACACTCCTTACCTGCTTCCCTCTTCTCAGTTGCCCAGCCCTGGTCAGGCCCCTGGAGGAGAGGCAGATGGGCAGAGCTGTGGGGAGAAGGGGCCCAGAAGGCCCAGGCTTTTCCTGCAATTGTGTCCCAAAGGTGGTAGGTATTGTCACTAAGCCGCACTATCCAGCCAGTACTTCTAGCTTGTCCCTGCTGCCCCTCTGCTATCTGGCCCCTTTCCTTCCACCTGCTAATGTGCCCAGTGCCCCTGCTGTTGCCAGGGCTGCACATTACTTGGCCATCCCCTGACTGACCCCAGGTCCTCCTTCTGTTTAGACTCACGGGAGCACTGTGTACAGAGGCTTCTGTTTCCCAGCCATCCACCTCCTTCCCGGGCCTCGCCATCCACACTGCTCTCCTCAGAGTCACTTCTGCTGCTGCATATGGTGCTCTCTCTTCTGCTTCATCTTCTGTCTCCTCCTCTGCCCATTTAAGCAACTGCTCTGACCCTTGGCTTCCTTCACGATGTCACGTTAGTAATGCCTAATTCTTCCACTTTCTGCTGCCTCTGGTTTCTCTCCTGCCGCCTCTGGTTTCTCTGCTTGTCATGCCTGATTCATAACTTCTCTTTGGGTGCCCTCTGCCATGGCTTTAGCCCCAGTCAGAATGTCTGTTGGGAAGAGATGAGAAAGAGGTAAGGGTTCTTCTGGTTAACATAATTTATTATGGATAAAACTTACTTTTGAAACAAAACTTAATTTTTCCAGTACTGGGCACTGAACCCAGGGCCTTCACACAGAGCTGCACCTCCCCCCTTTTTAATTTTTTATTTTGAGGCAGGCTCTCACTAAGTCACTGAATTGCCTGGGCTGGGCTCAGACTTATGATCCTCCTACCTCAGCCTCCCATCATGCTGGAATTGCAGGTGTGCACCACTGTGCTCAGCTTATCCCAGGGTTTTATCTTGTCTCATGGCTTAAATAAGCTCTACAACTAAAACATTTTTCCAATTGAAGATGAATGCAGTGTTTACAGTCTGGAATCTCCTGAAGATTGTAGCAGTGCACAACTGTGGATAGCATTGTAATGACAGAAATGACCAGAAATCCAGGCCCCAGGCAGTAAACAGCCCTCTGGCAATGTGCTCCCCAGCACACACATTTGTGGTATCAAGATGCCAATCCCCACTAAAAGGAATAGAACTTTGTCAAGAAATGGTTCGTGTCAGGTCTCAAGCAGGGAATGTACCAAGACTTACCCAGATGTAAGCCAAGACTTACCCAGAAAAGCAAGGGTGATATCAAAAGCTTCTAGGCTCGTGCAAAGACTCAGGAGCCACCTTGAACAGGCTCCCAGTAACAAAGATCAGTCAAGTTTAACATCAGTGAAATGTCAGTACTTTGAAGTATAGGAAATACATTTAAATCCATGTGTTTATATATATTGGTTTTTTTTGAGACAAGGTCTTGCTTTATAGTTCAGGCTGCCCCTGAACTCACAATGTAGCCCAGGCTAGCCCCGACTCTCGGTGATCCTCCTTCCCTTGCCTCCCAAGTGCTAGGATTACAGGCATGTGCTACCATGCTTGGCCCTTATAACAATATTTTTAAAAGAAAAGAATCCAGTCTCTTTTTCCTTGGTCTGTTGTCTGTTAATTATTAGGGAGGTTCAGGGTCACAATTCCAAAGAGCCACAAAGAAATAGATGCAGTGTTTTCTGTGCCAATAGCTGCGCCTACCATGCCCCATGACCCAGTAAACATGTGTCCTGAGCCCTTTTGTGTGTGATCTTCACTAAGGGAAGCTGCAGTGTCACCAAGCATCCTCTTGTGCTAGAAGGGGTTTATTTCTCTACATTTTTAAACTAGACTAGCATACAGAAAAATATAGAGTATGCCTTGTTCCCCATTCTCCCTCCCCCCATACGTATTTTGAATTGACAAAATGGAGAGGTTGCAATTATTTTTCAAGGATCAAAGGTTTGAACCAAGGTGTTGTTTCCAAGGCAGCTGGAGTAATTCTCCTCCCTCTCTCCAGACAATCATGATGTCATTTCCCTGAAGTTGTTTGAGCTGACGGTGGAGAGGACCCCAGAGGAGGAGAAGCTGCATCGGGACGTGTTCATGCCCTCGGTGGACAACATGAAGCTGCCCGAGAGTGAGTGTGGGGATCCTAGGAGGGACCCTGTGGCTAGGGAGGAGGTGGCAGTCCCACCAAGGTTGGGGTAACTTGCAGGCACATGTGGAGGGCAGGCATCCTCTGAAGAAGGTGGGATGGTGCATCTGCCTTTCCACTTTTCCCCTGCTACAGATCATCAGCAGTGACTGCTTCATGTTTAAATTGAGCTGTCAGGAATGGGGGAATCTAAGCCCTGGCTCTCCAGGAGTGGGTGTCAGAAATGGGGGGCTGGACAGTCTGGTAGATCCTTCCCAGTGGGTGGGCTCTGTCTCTGACTTGATTCTCTCTTGCTTGCTAGTGACAGCCCCACTGCAGCCCCTGAGTGGCCTGGCCCTCTTCCTCATCGTTTTCTTCTCCCTGGTGTTTTCTGTGTTTGCCATTGTCATTGGCATCATACTCTACAACAAATGGCAGGAACAGAGCCGAAAGCGCTTCTACTGAGCCCTCCTGCTGCCACCACCTGTGTGACTCACTGCTGAGGTGTAGCGGAGCAGACACTGGCCTCAGCTGGCCTGGGTGGGGGCGGTGTTCCATCACTGCAGCTTTGGATGAATGCAAGGACCCTGCCTTCCTGCGGTCGTCCACAGGGATGTCCCACTCTGGCCCAGGAAGCCGCTGTGATGTGCCTTTCCCTGGAGTCCTTCTGTTGGGAGTGAAGAGGCATGGAGAGAATGTGTGCGGTGTGATGCCCTAATGCCAGACCAGACCAGGGGAGCCCAGGCCGGACGGCTGCATTCTCAATCCACACAGAGCAGGAAGCTGCTCTCACCTTCAGGACATTTGCTTATTGGTTTTTGCTCTTTGCATAACCCTCTGCCCACCCAAGGAGCCCCCTGTGGAAATCTGGGTGGAAACTTCTTTCCTGCTTCCTTTCCTCCCTCTACTCATCCTTGCCATGTGCAGCCTGAGCTGGACACCTCTGTGGGCCTGCAGAGCAGACTGAAGTTTCACGGACCCTCCCTGGTGGCCTGGGGCTTTCTGAAGCTCTGTCTTCTGCAGGGGCTATGGGTGTGTTGGCATGCCTGGGTCCCTCCGTGCCATGTTTGGCTGGCAGTTGGCTGCAGGTTGAGAGAAGCTGGAAAGAAGATTGTCTGTGAAGCTGACCAGGTCCAGGTTTGCCACAGAAAACGGCCTTTATTGTGTACCTCTGGACCCACTGGAGCCTACTTATCTGCATGTTCTTGTTGACCATGATTTCGGGAAACCTGCTTTGAATATTGGAAGTGTAAGGAAGCTTTCTTCTTACTACCTAACCTCGGGTACTCTCCCCCACCCCCCCCAAAATCTGTCTTCTTTTTCTTAATGGAGAAGAAATAGTTGCTGTTCTCATTTGGTAAGCATGGGAACCTCCTCTGCCTGGAAGAGCTCATGGTCATGGAGCCCCACAGCCTTAGTGATGGCCTGTGTGTTGACCCTTCCTCCACTGCCTTATCTGACAAGGGTCATGTGCTGCTTACCTGTCTGCCCTGTGACTGAGGTGGTTTGGGCCAGGATTGGATCTCTGTAACCTAAGGGAAATTCTAAAGTGGCTGAGGAAACCAGTCCTGAGCTTCTGACTCTGTCCTTCCTTTTGGGCTGGGTTAGCAGGAGTCCAGGCCTTTTTCTTGATCCTCAGGCCCATTGCTTTTCCTCTGTCTTCCAGTGGGGAAGGCCCTGAGCTCAGAGCAGAAGGAAGGGGTCCCCTCCCTACAGGGCCTTCTGCCTTGCCTGGAGCAGGGCTGTGTGTGGCACGAAGGTTGAGGGAGGTGGCAGGCATCCTCCCAGCACCTTCCACGACAGCAGCGCAGCTCCAAGAACTGAAGGGCAAATCTCGACCTCGAGTCTGGCCTTTGGACCAGGGAGAATGAAAAGGGGAATTTGTCCTTTGTGTGTAAGGGGAGAGAAAGGGGCTGTGAGGGGAGGACTAGGAGGGCTTGTGAGGTGGAGAGACAGCATATGGTGGGAGGGAACAGAGACTGAACTGTGTGGTCTCTTGTGGTTCCAGCTCAGAGCACCTGGAGGCTTTTTTTTTTTTTGGTACTGGGGATCAAACTCAGGACCTTGTACTTACAAGGCAGGCCCAGTGCCGCTGAGCTAAATCTCCAGCCCTATGGAGGCCTTTTAAAGGGAATTGGGAAATGGAGTCTTCACCTCATATAGGGGACCAGCCTGCTGTCCTTAGAAAAAATGAGTGGCCCAAGAAAACCACCCATCCTACCGTTTTATATCCTGCCCCAGCTCTTTTTGTTCTAGAAACAAATGCTTCCCATGGCGAGTGGGGCCAAAATGGATCTGGGTACTGTGATCCCTGAGTGCAGGCCAAGGGCCATGCCTGGTCCAAGGTGTGGCCCCTGAGAGCCACTTCTCATAGTCACCTTCCCTCCATTTCCTCTGATATCAGGAGCCTGTTCACATGGAAGAGACCCGAGGCCTTGCAGGGGCACGTGCAGGCGACATTGTTCCCTGACCCTGTGTCTTCAGCCCCACAAGTAAATGAGAAGGTGTCAGTGCTATAAAATGTGTTTATTTCAGTGGGAAATTTCAGCTCTGCTTGTCTTGGACACAATAGGAAGAATACACCTCGCCTCTTCTGTATGTCCTTTAAGACAGAATCAGAACTACAGGAAGCCCAGGGGACAGCTAACAGCGGGCAGGGAAGGAGCCAGGCAGACACTTGCAGATCAGTCCTGGGGAGCCAGAAGTTCTGGGACTATGTCACCCAGGTGCTGCTTGGGTGCCTGGAGGATCGGCAGCTGGTGGTCTGTCACAGGCTCTAGGCTTGGTGCCTGGGTGGCGAGGGGGGCAGGGCTGGCAGTACTAGCAGTGGCCGAAGTGATGAGGTTGTATATTTTAATGGGCGGCTCCATGCGGATTGCGGGATGGATCCAGCTCATGGCCAAGTAGTTCTGGAGAGACACAACAGCAGAGTCAGGCTGAGCTAGCAACTGGAAGGTGCCCTCAGCTGTCCCATGAGCAGCCTGTGCCTTGTCCCCGTCCCTGAGGTGACCTCTCACCGGAGCTGAGTAGATAAATTTGAACAGCATAAATGCTATGACCAGCAAGACTGAGAAGCTTAGGATTTTGCAGCGGTAGCGCCTGCAGAGACTGAGGCACAGGTGTCGAACAGGAGACCGCAGCCACATGAACGAGCTGCCCGCTCGTCTATCCGTGCCGGGGGAGATGCCAGAGAGAGAGGGAAGACCTTCAGGTCAAAGGATCCAGAGTAGAGGGCTTTCCTTTTGGGGCGCCCCACCCCAAATCTGTTCTCTGCAGATTGTAACTGAACCACATGATAGGAAGTGACTCCCCCCTCTCCCCCACAGATGGAGGAGGGACATTGGGCGCCTGAGCCCCGCAGGCCTTACAGGGGAGGGTGCAGCGTGGGGTACTGGTTGGGCTCCGACTGGCCTTGCCCTGCTGGCCTGGCTGAGGCTTCCTTCTCAGACAAGACCTCCAACGTCATCTTCACCTTCCCCTAGGGGCACACACGTAGGGGCCGAGGTCACAGGGAGAGGTGGTTGGGAACCCTGCCCAGTGTCCAGGGAGGAAAAGGTATAGCTGAGGTCCCCGGAAGGCTGCTAGAGCTGGGTCACATAGCACAGCAGTCCTGCTCAAGAGACACCTTCCCCAGCTCCTACCGATAAGCGCCACTTGTCACCATCCTGAACCTGGCAGGGCCACCAGCCAGTTACAGTTTTCTTTTTAAAGAGGGAGAAGTGCTCATGTGGGAGGAAGGGCCACTTGGGTTTGGCATCCAGCATCCGGAGGGAACACTGCTTGGCATGCCGGGCCGGGCGGGGCATGTCTGACAGGTCAAGCTCAAGGACCCCTGGGCCAGAGAAGCGAAGAACTGTCAGCTAGGGGTGCCCCCCCCCGCCCTGCCTGGGTCACTGCCCTGAGCCAGCCTCACCCAGGAAGTCATCGCTGGAGAAGATGTCATTGTCCCAGATCTGGATGATGAGCCGGGCTGGGAACTTAGTGGACGTGGGGTCCAGGCTCCATATGTAATCCTGGAGGGCAGAGGATGTGTTCCAGCCCACAAAGGTGACACAGCCCCTGGATAGCTGCGAGGCCCACTCCCCACCAGTGAGGGACTACCAAGGAGAAGGCCTCTGCCTGCAGACAGTCCCTAGGACTGTCACCATGTGTGTGTCACTGGAGGGCAGAGGGGAACCCTGAGGCTGCACCCCTTTCCCTGGCACCTTCTGGCTCTCGACACACATGTGCTCTGCCGCCAGGTAGTCCATGGTGAAGATGAACCGCCAGTTGAAGGTGGCTTCCCCACTCAGGGAGTGGTAGTGGATGTCCGTCTTCTGCATGTTCTTTTCCAGCCCAAACAGCCACCTAGGCCCAGAGTCCTTTCACCCAGGCTCACACATCTGTTCCCAGTTCTCATTAGGCATGGTGGCAGTGGAACACCGTCCCCTTAATGTACAGGGTGTCCCTCACCCTTTGATGTAGATGTCGCTCATCTTCTCTCTGCTGAGCGCCTCGTCCACCAGGTCCACTTGAGTGGTTTTCCAGACAATGCAGCGCAGCTCATACCTGCAGCCACTGTGCTCTGAGGCTCTGCTGAGGAGCTGTGCCTCGCAGCCTTGGTGAGGGGGTAAGGCCTGGAGGCTGCCCTCCAGGCCCTGGCCAAATTTGAGGTTCCTCTCTTCCCAACAGAGGAAGATTCCTGCCGCTCAGCCTTTGAGGACAGTTGGGGCTCAGCTGAAATGTGGCAGTGGGGAAGTGGGTGCCACTTACCTCTTAGGCTTTCTGGTGCTGATTTTGACTGGGGGACCGGGTGGCCCCAGCTTCTGGGGGAAGATGTCCACCCACATTTGCACCTTTCCCTAGGGCCAGATGGGTTAGCAGTTGCAGCTGGACAGCCTGGGGCCTTGTCTGGGTGCTGAGGCTGTGTCCCAGTGCTATGTCCCCACTGATGGAGGGGCAGAGAGCTGCCTCTTCCTTTGGGGTGGTGAGTAGGTGTGAGGGTCCAGGCCCCAAGTATGGTGCCATTTCACTTGTGATGGCTCTGGAGGATGCAAGGCATCCAGCAAGGTGGCCTTGGACAGGAGTGGAAGTTGGGCTTTCATTTATTATGCAGTATTAAGAGGAGACTGGCTGCTCAGTGAGCTCACTTAATGTTATGTGAGCACAGCCTTGGGATATGAAGCCAGTCACCATTGCAGAGGTCCAAGAAGGAAGATGGGGGTGAAAACGGAGAGAAAAAGAAGTCAAAGGACAGCATGGCCAAGCTTGGAAAACATGAGTACATTCTGTCTTTCCAAGCACCAGCCCTAATTTTTCTCTCTTATGACCCACTTGACAGGCGTAAGGAGGATCATTTTAACAATACTCAGAAGAGGACTTTTCTCCAGAATGTGCCTCAGCTGGAGTGCTGTGGAGACTGAGGAGAGCCTTGTGGCTGGAGGGCAGAGGACAAAAAGGGTGCCCTTGGAGATCTCATCCCTGTGTTTGGGGCTCCTTGCCATGGAGAAAACAGCCTACAATTAGCAGCCAGAAGCAGGGATGTCACATCTGCACTGTGACCCGAGGTGCTGCCTCTCCCAGAAGCGTTGGCTGCTAGGGTTCCTTAGCACTTCCCCCAGCAGATTCAGGTGACCTTTCCAGCCCTGATGTCCTCTATTCTAAGTGACATCACGGGAAGCGGGCAGCCCCTCCGGTCTCATACCTGGTCAATGCCTGGCTGGCTCTCACTGTACAGCGTGCGTGTCTCCACATGTTCGGGCACCAGGCCCTGGGTGTGTAGGATGTGCAGTGCCAGACGTTCCTTCTTGGGGCCCAGGCCCGGCATAGTCGGGGCTTTGGACTCTGGATTGGAAGGAGTGTATCTCAAGGCCTTCAACCCTGCTAGGTTCTTTCCCCAGCCCAGCCTAGGTGCTAAGTGGGGCACAGGGTGGGCTGGCCTCTGGCTCAGGGGTGAGCTCTTGTCCTCCCCTCTTCCCCCATCTGCAGCTCTTTCCTCAGAGGTCTGTGTGCTTTCAGGCAGTGTGCTGTGCTCACCAAAGCTTTGCAGCTTGAATTTTTTCCCCCTATAAAAAACTGAGTCTCCGTCTGGGTCAAACACCGGAGGAGGCAGCCCTTTCCGCTTGGCATAGCGCTCTAGGAGGTAGCTCGGGGGCATCTGATCCCGCCACCTAAAGGGCCCTGACCTGAGCACGGGAAAGGAACAGGAGGCGGTGTGAGGCCTGGAGAACATGTGGTGGTTGGGCAGGTCCAGCCCCGGTTCCCAGCCCCTCCCAGGGGAGGTGTGGGCTTACTACCACCCCGACCCCCACCCAGCCCCAACAGGCCCCTCACTGGCAGTAGGACTTGGAGAGCCCACAACGAGCTCCAAAACCAGATAGCAGTCGGTTCTCAAGGTCAATGAAGGTGCTTCCAATCTCATCATCAAATGAAAACAGGTCAAAGTCGTATAGCTGGATCTGCAGGTCCTTCTCCAGGGGGATGGTGCAGGTGAGTTGGAACATCCTAGAGGGCAGAGGTTGTGATGGGCCTGCATCTCAGCCCAAGGGACCCTTTTCACCTCTGCTCCTGCATGGATTTGGAGAGTGGACTGAAGCAGAGCCTGTGTCATCCATCGGCAACTCTTGGGCCCAGCCAGAAGTAACTTGATATGGCCTGGGCCATGTGGCCTGCACTTCCTCCCAAGGCAGAGTTTGAGGGAGGGGAGAGCTGGGCCACCCATCCATATGTCTTCCCTGGTGAGCACCTACAGTATGAGATGGCTGCTCAGAAGAAACTAGGGGGCAGAGAGGGAATACAAGATTGTCTGCTGGAGCCGCCTCTCAGTGTGGCATGAAGGAGGGCAATGGGAGGGAAGGGTGCAGCTCACATGCCAAAGATGGGATCCACAGTGTTGGGCTTGTAGGCATCCCGGCTGCCAAGCTTCATGGACCCCAGCTTCAGGACCACATAAGGGTCACACTAGGGGATGAACAGGAAGTAAGGGGCTCAGTCCAGCTTGGTCAGGGCCAGTGGGACTAGAGCAGCAATGAGCCCCCAGCGTGGAGCCTGGGGCATTGGCAGTGTGGAGTCAGCAGCCCGAGGGGCTCCAGAAAGGGATAGGGCAGGGGTGAGGCCTGTGCTGGGCTGGGCTGCTCTTTACCAGGCCGTTGTAGTCCTGGGGCTGCAGGTTGATGGCTCGTACCACGTACACCCGCACCAGGCATTGCTGGGGGAAGTCTTCTCTCTCTGGCCAAGTCAAGAACTGGCGCGGGGGCTTGGGGGCTTCCGGATTCTCGGGAAAGGGGTAGATTCGGAAGAGACCCTGGGGGTGGGAGGGTGTTGTGGCCCAGCTCTGTAACCCTTAAGGAGGCTTCCCAGCCCAGGACCATCAGAGATGGTCGGGTTGACAGTGGCAGGGACAGAAGGCCATGGGGATGGAACAACAGGGTAGCAGAGGTCTACAGCAGGAAGCACAGTGTTTAGGGGGGTGTTAGTCATTTGGGGGACGCATACACACCTTGAACTCCCCTACCACAGGGCTGTCCACCTTGGGCTGCTCCTGGTAGAGCTTAAAGGTCTGGCAGAAGTCCTCCAGGCCCTGGAAGTCTGGCACCGCCTCCAGCTCACAGTCGTACACCTGCAGAGCAGAGGAGGACCAAGCTGGGAACAGGAGACCAAGGGACTATGGCCCCCAGGGCTTTTCCAAGGCATCTAGTGGAGGAGTCTGCTTGTCTCAGGAGACAGCAGAAATGTTCCTTGGTGGCTCCCAGAGGAACCAGGGCTGAATCTGTGGCTCCTTCTGAGGGAGATTTCATGCCACCCTGGCCCCTCCTGACCTTTAGAGTATGGTAGTCTTGGTACTTGTCCTGCAGGGACTTGTCATCTCCCGTGGCCCAGAACAGCTTGCTCCACCAGTCTACCTCATGCTCATACTCATCCTGGCAGGAAAAGGGTGCACTGGCACTCGGGCAGGGGGGTCCCCACCTCCAGGGGCCCACAGGGCTGGGCCTACTTTACCTCAGGTCTGCTGGACTTGAACCAGAACTTTTCATAGAGAAACCCTAGGACCTGGAAGGCAGGAGGCAAGTAAGGTGAGGTCAGCAGCCCAGAGCTGGCACATGGGCTCTAACATCTTGGGAGAGAGGTCCAGCCAAGGGCCATTTCCCTGGCTCCCCTGCATGCTAGAATCACTAGGCCCGGGTGTGATGTGTATGTGAGAGAACAAAATTCTGCTTCTGGGGCCCTTCCGAAGCAGCTCTGGGGCGGTTCCTCAGGGCCTGGTCTCAGGAGTTAAAAGCCCTCGGTGATTGTCGGTGAGGTCACACCAGGCACATTGGCCAGGATGGCTCAGCCAACACCCCTCCCCTGGGACAGGGCTGTTCCTGTAAACAGCTGAGCGCTTGTCACCTTCTGATGTTTCTTCATAGACAGCGCTGTGTAGAGAGATACAGCAGTGAGCCTCAGGAAGGGACAGGCCAAGGAGGACAGGTGTCCACCCCATCGGGTACCAGGGTCCTTCCCCGTATCCACAGGGTCCTTCCCCATATCCACAGGGGCCTAGGAGGGCAAATGGTCAGTGCCATACTTGGAAGCTGTGGGGGCAGGTAGTCTCGTGCCCAGGGGTCACAGAAGTAGGGCTGCAGGAAGTCGACACTGGCCTGGCCCAACACAATCTGCCGCCCGAAGTCCTGGTTGTCCAGCACCTTCAGCACCAGGGGCTCCGAATAGACCTCCTCTTTGGGCATGAACTACCACCAGGGAGAGCGGGTGTGAGGGTCCCTGGAGAGGACACACCCCAACCCCACCCCAGGCTTCTTACCACCATGAGCAGCAGCACAGACTCAGGGAAATTGGGGTTGGTGGGGAAGTCCTTGATGGGCTCTGTTCTCAGGGACTCGCCCCCGAACTCCACCAGCAGCTGGGGGTGGCGCGCCTGCTTCATGTTGCGGAGGCCCCAGGCCAAGATCTGCCAGGATGGAGGAGGAGGGAGGGCAGGTAGCACCTTGGAGGGGGTCCTGGGCAGGAGGCAAGGCTGCCTGGGAATGAGGTGCCTCAGGGAGCCCATAGGGTGAGGCACTTGGCTGTGTGGAGAAGCCAGTGTGAAGGCTCCTGAGTCTCCCTGTCCTGTGAGGGATGCACCTGTCCTCAAGGCCTAGACACCAAGCTCCCTCCCTGTGAGGAGGCCTGCAGGTCACTGCATCTGCTGCTGGTCTCCTTAGGTGTCACCTATGAATTCCTGAGGTGGCTTCCTCCAGGACCCACTCACAGAAGCATGGGTTACTCTGATTTCTCAGGGGTCCCCAGGCCATATAGCTCATTGCCTCCCTGTGTTCCAGAGAGCCCCATGATCAATAGTGGCCTTGCACCCTGTGATGTCTCAGCTGACACTGGAAACCTCAGGAAATGCCCACACCCTCTTCCTGAGGGCCACCTCTAGCCTAGTGGGGACCAGTTGGGTTGCCTGAACTTGAAGAGGCCTCCTGTCATCCTTTGTTCATTAGTAAATTTGTGGCAGAGCATACAGATTCCAGTGCAGGGACCTCCATGCTCCTCTCAAAAGCCACATCTTGGCATTTGGTGTCAGGCAGAGCTGGACCTAAATTGTGTCTCTGTCACTTAGTCCCTGGTCACCATGCATGGAATATGTTGTCTCAGAGCCTCCATTTTTTTTGGAGGGGGGGCGGAAACAGGATCTTGCTGTGTAGCCTCAGCTGGCCTTGAACTTGCAGTGATCCTCCTACCTCAGGCTCCTGAGGGCTGGGATTACAGGCGTGTGCCACCATGCCTAGCTCCATTTCCTTCTGTGAAAAGTATCTCTGCTGTACAGGGGTAGCACGAGGCCACATGTGACCATTAGTGTTACAGCCCCTTGTCTGCTACCCACCATGGAGTCTTGCAGAAAAGTGATTTATGATGCTGTATCAGAGTCTGTGCTCTCCATTTCCCTGCCCCTCTCCAACCCCGAAAGTGTCTTCTCAGGGTGCAAGCTTTAAATGGACAGTCAGGAGGGCTCCAGGATGCCTGGGTGATCCCTCATGACCCCTCGCTGTCCCCACCTCAATGGCTGTCTTCCTCACGGTGGGCTGGATGCTCTTGGGCAGCGTGTAGACCCCGTCTTTCCAGGGAATGCTTAAGAGGGGCAGGTGCTTCTCTCTCAGCTTCTGGAGCACAAAAGAGGGGGTGCAGGATGCCTGAGGCACTGTGGGCCAGTCCTGAGTCCCACCCCCAACCCAAGCAGTTCCTTCAAGGGCTCAGCTGAGAAGCCCTAGGCCTTTCCTGGGGTGTGGGGTAGAGGTGGCCCCACTGGCTGTGGACATGTGTGGTTCCCATACCTCTGTCTCAAGGATCAGCTCACAGGATGCCAAGATCTCGCCCTCTTCCTCCCCTCGCTCTTTCACAAGTGGGTGCCACCTTAGGGGCGGCAGCATCCAATCCTGAGGGTCCAGCCAGACCACTGGAGGCCACATGCTCCGTCCCCACAAGCTCTCCTTTCCCTGGAGGGGAGGAGACAGTCACGAAATGCAACGGCCAGGCCACAGGGGTCCAGCTCCAGGATCAGCAATACTAATGACTGCATGGTGCTCTGCACGCCTGGACTCATGGGGCCACTCCCCAAGATCCTTTCCTCTAGAATACAATACCCACTTATTGGGCTGGGGATTTAGCTCAGTGGTTTCGTCGCCTGCTGCACAAGCAGAAGGACCCGAGTTAGATCCCTGGTACCAAAATAAATAAACAATCCCCACTTATCTCCTGGCCCAGTCCAGCCCACTGTACCAGGGCATCGCACTGCCACAGCTCCAGCACCACAAGTGGGGGGCTCTCCCGGGTGTCCTGGGGGCTTTCGTGCAGCAGGAGGTGCTGGAAGATGAGTGTCTGCGCCCAAATGGGCGCCACAGAGCTGGGCAGGCGCTGGGTGCACTGGCTGTAGTTGAGGAAGACTGCGCGCACGAAGGGCCCTGCAGGATGAGGCTGCCTGAGCACGAGCCGGGTACCTGGGTGTCTGCCCAGAGGCCAGGGGCCTTCTGCTCCTGGCCCCCTTGGGGAAGGCCCTTCAAGGTGGGCTGTGATTCCCAAAGGACATGGTGCCCAGCCGCTATCCCTGGGCCCTGCCACCCACAGCCCTGGCTCCTATGAACAGTCCTCTCATCTCCTGAGCCCTGCAGTGGGCCTTTCTCATGGGGCTCTTCTCTGTCCCCCTCTGTCCAACCACAAATGACATGCGTCTCCCAGGCATGATACCCTGGCTCTCCCCATCTCATCAATCCTCTCCCAGGCACACTCTTTCCTCCTCAAGGTAGAGCTATGTGGTTACCATGGGGTGAAGCCCCTCTGACCCCCATTCTAATTCCACAGTATCAAGGTCACAGCTGAAGAACAGCCCCTTCCAGGTGTGGTGCTGCATGCCTGTGATCCCAGCACTCAAGAGGCTGAGACAGGCAGATGGTCGCACGTTCAAGGCCAGCCTGAACTACATAGAAAGACCCTGTCTCAAAAAAACCAAAAAGAAAAACAGCCCCTGACTTACAGTCTTTGTTTGGGGTCTTTTCCCCCAACTGAGGCCAAGAGCTGTTTGGGAGAGGGGTGTGCATGTCTGTCACCCCCTTTCCTTCTAATATTCATTATGCTGCTGGGTGGCTGTGTTTGGACTGGGGGGCAAGGGCTTGATGACGAGGGACATTCCTACCCTGGAACGCCAGGACCTGGTTGGACATCAGATTCCGGGCCTGGTAGATGTAACAGAAGAGCTGGTAGTAGTGGGGCTCTGGATAAAGAAGAGCTGTGTCTGTCACCTGCCCAGTGTCCCTGCAGGCTGTCCTCGGGATCCTGCCCTCAGGGCTGCTCCATGCACCCAACCCAGCACTCACTGTCGAGGGTGCAGTAGATGAAGGGCATGCTGGGGAGCCGTGGATCCTCCTGGGCAGGCTTCCAGGCGTCCCTGAACTGAGCCCAGGGCAAGGCCCTGTTCTCTTCCTTCTTAGGGTTTTGTTTCAGATCCGTGGCCTGTGGCCGGGACAGCCTCCTCTGAAGCCCTAGGGTGCTTCCGGGGTCTCCCTCTGCCACGCTCCTGCCCTTCGGGTACCACCCTCCCTGTCCTCCCCTCCCCCATCAGTCGGTGGCCCACTGGGGTCTTCCCTGCTCCTGCAGGAGGCAGGGTTGCAAGCAAGTGCTGCTCAGCCCACAGGGCTTTACCAAGGAGCCCTCGAGGAGGAATATGGGCGCCACGCTTGTGTTCTTGTTGGGAGCCAGCCTGCGGTGCCAGCAGCGGCGGCGGAAGCGGCTCTGGGGCTGTGGGTCCAGGTGAAACTTGGAGCCGAAGCTGCCATACTCCCAGCCCTCCTCTCCCTCACTGACCAGGCCCTGCTGCGGAGGAAAGTGGGTTGCACTCCTGCCACCACCCGCGGTGGCCACGCCCGCGATCCCGGCCAGGCCCTGCCGAGGGAGGCCCTCACCATCTGCAAGAAGGATACGGTCTGCTCCTCGCCGCCCAGCTCCCCGTGGTCCCGGAAGCGCATGCGCACCCAGCGGCGCCTGCGGCACGAGTGGTAGTTCTTCTCCACCGAGGTCCACAGCCGGGGCAGTCCCGACGGTGGGATCCCCACACCGTACTCCCAGCCTGCAGGTGACACCAGGGCCTACCTCTAGACAGGCAGTGCCTTCCTTCCCTTCTCCCCAGGAAGGTGTGGTCACACTGTCACTTGGACACCCAGGGCCTGTATTATGAACAAGGAAGGGACTGGCACACAGCCACACTGCTGAGAGCCTGTTTGGAGCCCAGGCCGGAGATCCTCGACCTGTTGCTTCTTCCTGGAACCACCTCGGGTAGTCTGAGTTTCACAGGCATCTGTCGAGCTGCATTGCGGGCCAGGAGGCACCGAGGATATGCATTCTTTCCACTCTAGCTGGGGCCCAAGTCAAGGGAATGGGTGGAGACCCTGAATCCTAGAGGCCAGGGACCCCCAGCAATCTAGGCTCACCACACCCAAGAGCACTGGGCATGTGGTGCACCCCTATAATCCCATCATTAAGGAGGCTGAGGCTGGAGGATCACCATGAGTTCAAGGCCAACCTGGGCTACACAGTGAATTCAAGGCCACCATAAACTGCACAGTGAGACCCAAATAAACAAACATGCCTGAGAGCTTGGCTGCTCAAGGCTGCTGGAGGAACCAGGTACTCCTACCTGCTCAGAACAGCCCCACTACTTGCATGATTTGGTGTCCCAGGCCCTCCCACACTCCTCGGGGCCCTGATCACAGCACTGACCCTCACTGTCCACTGAATGGTTGAGCTCCACAGCCCAGTTCTTCTTAAAGTGCCAGCCTTGGGGACACCTCACAGTGTCCCGGGCCTCCATGGGCTGTCCATTCTGCAGGGACATGGGGCCGAGGAGGAAAGAGGGGCTTGCCTCCCCCCCCCACATCTATCTGGGACCCTCCTGCACTGTGGCCTCCCATCCCCTGGACCAGACAGTGCTGGCTTTGTCTGCTGTTACTCTGTCATGACCAGCCTTTCTGGGCTGCCACCCGCTCCCTCTGTGTTGAAACAGGGAGCTACCATGCGTGAGGTCTGTACTGTCCTGGCCCAGTCCAGTGCACCTGGAGCTACTGCAAGGAATGAAAATGACATAAAATGCAGAGTCCAGTCCCTTAGTCTTACTAGTGTCCCACTTCCAGTGCTCAAGAGCCACCCAAGGACAGAGCACATACAAAAGCTCCCCAGCACTGCGGAGCATTCTAGTGCCTGGTCCAGGCCCACTGGCCCTGTCCTCCTGCAGGGGAAGCAGCACCTCCGAAAGAGGCCTAGAGAGGGATAGCTGTCTCCCTCTCTCGTTTCTGATGTCTTATATACAGCATCTCTGCCTGCCATCTTGGGGTCCAGGGTCCCCCACCAGTGCAGGGGAAAGTGCCTGAGGCTGACAAACTCAGCCAGGGTCCAGTAGTGAGTGGGAGGCCCTAGTTCTTTCCTCTGGGACACCCCCTACCTGGTACCCTTGCCTGTCCCCCTCCCCTGAGGTGGCTTCAGCCCTGCTCACCACATCTGTGTTCGGGATGGCTGAGGACACCCAGGAGCCTGAGAAGTTGCGTTCCTGGTTCTCATACACCTCCTCCAGCACCTGGCTCTTGTTGATATCTATGTCCAAGAGGAGTCTGGGGACAGGAAGATCCCACAGTTCCCAGAGGTCCCGCTCTGCTGGTCTCGAGCTTCCCTACATGGCATCCAGCAGGGCCATGTCTTATGTGTCCAGACCCAGGGACCAGGCTCGGTGGCTATGGGCCCACCTCCAGGCTGCTGCTGACTGGCCCTCCGAGGTGACAGGAAGTTCATCTCAGAGAGAAGAACTTGTCTAGGGGCTCGAGGGCTCGAGGGCCTGAGACCCTAGGCTTACCTCCTCTGGGGCTCCACTTTCCAGCTGTCTTGCCAGTGCCATCCTGAGGGCACCTTGAACTTCGACTTGGGGAGGGCCTTGTGCCCTGTAACATCTGAGAAGTTGGGGCAGTGATAGAGCCCCTGCTGTCCCCACTGGTCTTTGAACTTGGCCTGATTCTCATACTGGAGGAGGGAAGGTCCTGTCAGCACTTGCTGGGGGTGTTGGGCCTCAATCTGAGCCCCCCAACCTTAGAAATGGCTACACCCCATTGCACAGGTGAGTAGACTGAGGCTCAAGGCTCAACCCTGCCCCAGGCTGTGTAGCTAGCAGAATGGGGTGGACACTCATGTTAGAGCTGGGACCTTTAAAGGGACCTGTGGGACCAGAGGACCCCAGCCCCAGTCCCTGAACCCCACCCTAAATCCCCTCTCCAGTTTATCCTCAAGCCTTACACAAAGTCATCACTCGGTGTCCTGGGGAACAGGTTCCAGAACCCTCTCGAATACCACATCCACAAGTGCTATTGTCCCTTCTATCCTTAAAAGGCCTAGTATTTGCATACAACCTGTGACCACCTTGTGTTTACTTCAAATCCCCCCTGTGTGCTTTATCATACCAAATATTACATTGCTCAAGGAATCATGACAAGAAAAAAGCCTGCACATGTTCAGTACAGATGCAGCCATCACAGGCCTGACTTGATTTCCCACCTGCAGTTGACTGAACCTGCAGAAGTGGAATCTGCAGATGTGAACGGCCAGCTGTATTATATGTTTATCCCCACATGCAGCATAAAACCAAGTGATGTTTTAATTTGGTGAGTTAAAAGGCCTGACACTCTTAACCTCACTTCCCTTCTGCCATCAGAGCCAGCTCCTGGACCACAGCCTCCCTGTAATTCTCTGGGTTGTCAGTAATGCCCAGCTCTTCCCTGCAAAGTCACTGTCCCTTGCTGGTCCTGGCCCCCACACTACAGCTCACCGTCTCCAAGTACACCACCATGTTGCCCTGGCGGAGCAGCTGCAGGTCCTTGCTGTCAGTGACATTGCCAAACCACATGCAGACCCGGAGGTGGGCGGGGAGCATGTCCTGCTGTCCTTCACCTTCTGGGTACTGAATCAGAGGCAGGTCAATCCCACAGTGCACTTGGCTCTGGGCACAGGAACACGGGTGCGGGAATGGTTCACACCTGCCCCTTCTCCCTGAGCCCTGAGAGCAGGGACACTCACACTGAACTGGGTGGTTCTGAAGCAAAAGCGTGAACCACTGGGCTGGGAATGGCTCGGATGTAGAGCACTTGCCTACTGAGTACAGGGCAATGGTATGGTCTACTGCAAACTCAGTACATGTGTTAAGTGCCTGGACCCTCAACACCCCACTGTGAGGCAGCTGTGGGTATCAACAGCCCCATTCTATAGAGGAGCAGACTGAGGCCTGGACATGGTCAGGAGTTGTCCTGGCCGCTTGAGCCCATGAGCAGCAGAGCAAATTCAGTCTCAGTGGTTCTTGCAGGATAGGGAGGAATCTCATAGGCAAGAGAGAGAGGCTGAGCTGTGCGGTGGAAAGGGTCAAGGGCAGCATGTTTGGGGCCAGGGAAGCCCAGGGGCTATCAAGAGGGAGGTGGTACCTTCTCCAGGAGGCAGTAGGACACCAGGGAAGATCTAGACTTTATGGCATTAAATATTTTGGAGATTGCCTAACATTGGTCCAGCGGGGAGATGTCAAGGGACAAGACCAAGTGGTGATGGCCATGAGGGTAATGGAGGAGGTGGATTTGGGGACCATTTTGAAGAACCATGAATGTGGCCCCAGCCCATAGCTGATGGGCACAGGCCTTTGCCTTTCTCTGGGGACAAGGACCAGGTACACAGGAAGCTGACATACCCTCAGGAAAGCCCCCTGGGGCTGCCCTGGGACCTCAGGGACCCCCTGGTCCTCACCTGCAGCAGAAGGGTCTGGATCTTCCCACAGAACCGGCCACAGTGCAGGGGCCCCGCCCGGGAGAAGAGGATGGTGTGGGCGGGCACCTGGGCAAAGGCCACACGCTGCTCCTTGGCCATCAGCCAGATCATCACATCCGGGAGGCTCATCTGGGGCTGGGGATACAGGGACCTCAGGACCTACAAGGCAGCTCCCAGCCCCTCCCAACCTGCACCAGTGCCCACCTCAGGGAGCACACTATTGAGGCAGTGCAGCCAACCCTCCACTGTGGCCACCATGTCCCTGGTCTTGGCTTCCTTGGCCTTCCGTGCTAGATCCTGCAGGAGGAGGCTGCGGAGCTGCCACCTCTTCCTGTCCAGGTTGGTGGCTTTGGGCTGATCCGCCATGCAGGGCAGAGGGCGCCTGTGGGCGGGACAGAGTGGCAGGAGGCTGGGCCTCTGTTCTACTTCCCATGTCTCTACCTCTGGTTCTGTCACAGCTGTGGTGCCCTTCGAGCCCTGAGACCCTGCCTGGGGCACAGCTGGCCTGGTCTGGGAGTCTGCCCGCCAGGTGTCTGGCTGCGCCGAGGACCAGCTGTGGGGAGGATGCGGGCTGAGACAGGGGCCACCCAACCCGGGGCAGGGGATGAGAGGCTTTCTGGTGGCCTTCGGGTCAGGCAGCACCCCAAGGGGGTGTGTAGGAGCACTTGGGAGAGCTGTGGAGACAGACATTGTGGGCCTGGGGTGCAGGAGCTGCAGGTTTGGGAGGAGCATGAGGTATCACTGGGGGACAGGGACCATGATGGGCAGGTAGCCAGGCCATGTCTGTGGGAGCCTGGTAGGGTTGGGCTCCAGCTGGAGAGCAGTCCAGAGGTGGCCAGGGCTCGCAGGGCCTGGGCCCAGCCCCACCATTCTGGCTACCTGCAGTCCTCCACCAGCTCCCGCCGCAGCTTTTCCCACTGGGGGAGCAGGGCAGGGTCCCTCAGGTTCCGCATGGACTTCAGGACATCCAAGTTGGCTTTCTGCCAGCAGGAGAGAAAGGAGAGTGCTAGGCTTAATGGGGGCACAGTGGGGGGAGTCGCCTGCCACAGGGCAGGACTGCGGGCAGTCTCAGCCAGGACCTAGGACCTTGCTGGGTACTGGTACTGTCAGTCTAAGGCTCTCATATGCCCCACCCAGGCTTCCAGACCTCTACTTCCTGTTACTCAGCAGAATAGGCAGCAAGGAGTGCCCAGGATGGGTGGGCCTGGGAAGCAGTGCTGAGGAACAGTAACTGGGCAGACCTGACTTCCTCAGATGGCAGGGCAGCACTTGGCTCGGCCGTCTTTGCACCTCAGTGCCCAGTGCTGCCCTGGCGCCATGGGCATCTTCCATGTGGGATGCACAGGCACTGTGCGATGGGCTCATGGGGCTGGATACGCGTATCTGGCACCTGTGCACTCACCAGGCGGTCCCTGGCAAACTGGAGCAGGTTGAGGCAGTGCATGCGGAAGCTGACGTCCTCCCAGCTGGATGTCACAGCCACTACCGGCTTGGTGTTGTACCAGGGGACATAGTGGTAGATGTTCCCTGAGATAAAAGACACGGGGTGGGGTGGGAATGTTGGAGGAACTTTTGAGGTCTCCACACTGAGCTGTATTCCCACCCCTTTTTAATTTTTCTTTTGAGACAGGGTCTTGCTAAGTTGCCCAGGCTGGGGTCAAATGTGATTCTCCTGCCTCAGCCTCCCAGAGGGTTGGGGTTATAGGCATGTGCCACCACACATGGCTGCATCCCCTTGAAGGACCTCCCATGGGCTACTTCATTCCTCAAGGATGTGACCTGCTGACACTAACAGGACCCTTTCCAGGATGTTGGCTGAGACCTGGGCTGTGCACTCTGACCACCCCAGATCTCTGCAATCAAAGCCCCTGGCCTCCAGGTGGGAGAATCCAGGCTAGCAATGACCCGGAGGTCATAGCAGGGAGATGCAAAGGCAGGGGCCCACTTCCATACAGGAGTTCAGGGCGGCAGCCCCAGAGGACCTGCTAGCACAGAGGACTGGGTGGGGAGCGAATATGATAAAAATGGTGGTTTGAAGCCAAGTGTTGTGGTGCATGTTCATAATCCCAGCACTCTGGGAGGCTGAAGCAGGAGGATCTCAGATTCGAGCCCAGCCTGGTTTAACAATTTACCAACTTAGCAAGACCCTGTCTCATAATAAAAAATAAGAGAAACAGGGCCGGGATTTAGCTCAGTGGCACCACACCTGCCTTGTGAGCACAAGGTCCTAAATTCAATCCCTAGTACCAAAAAAAAGAGAAAAGAGATAAGAAAATAAATTTTTTAAGAGGGCCAGGGATGTAGTTCAGTACTGTGTACACACAAACAAACAAACAAACAAATAAATAAATTGAAGGTAGACAGACTCTCAAAGACGACAGCCAGAGACCCAGAGAGAGAGCACCATGTGAAGGTGGAGGTAGGGAATGGAATGATGCTTCTCCCAGATAAGAAGCACTGAGGATTACTGGGAAACTGAAGCTGGAAGGGAGGCACAAAATCCTAGCATTCAGGAGGCTGAGGCAGGAGGATTGTCGAGAGTTTGAGGCCAGCCTGGGCTATATATTGAGACCCTGTCTCAAAAAAACAAAACCAAAAACTGATTCTTAGCCCTCAGCAGGAATCAACACTGACCCTTGACTTCAGTGTGTCTCCTACAGACCTGTGACAGAGCACATTTCTCTCACTTTAACCACCCAGTCTGCGGTACTGTGCAACTCTCATGTGCCATGCTGGTCTCCAGGACCCAGACCCTCGGGGCAGGAAGGAGCAGGGGATATTTCCCCTCCCACAGAAGGGGCCCCGAGGGTGCTGCGTGGACCAGGAGAAACGATTCCCCAGCTCAGCATGGGTCTCTGAGCCAGGCCACCTGTGGAGGCTGAAGGCTGTCACATAAAAAGTTTAAAGTGGCCCCTGCTTGGAGAATGAAACTTCAGCCAGACCTCAAAGAATTCCCAAGAAATCTTGAAATAAAGAGCAGTTTACAGGCCAAACACATCCTCCTTTCCCTACCCAGCAAGCCCACTCCTGGGCATCCACCAGAGAGGAAGGTAAGTACAGCTTCAAGAGACACCAAATATGTTGGCCAGCACTGACTGGAACAGCCAATGTGGGAACAGCCCAGGAAGGCTAAACCATGGTGTACACCTGGCCTCAGTTTCCCCAGGGAGTTGGTTCCAGGATCCCTTGCAGATACCAAAGTCCATGGATGCCTGACCCTTATAGAAAATGGCATAGCTTTTGCATAAAACCTATATATGTCCTCCTGTATACTTTAAACCATTTCCAGATGACTTATAATACCTAAGACAATGTAAATGCTATGTGAATAGCTGTTATCTGTATTGCTCAGGAAATAATGACACAGGGAAAGTCTGCACTTGTTCAATCAAATGCAACTGGGGGGCAGTGGGGATTGAAACCAGGGCTTTTTTGCATGAAGCAACGTCCACAGCCCATTTTTTGTGTTTGACAGTCATTATATTGGTCAGGCTGGGCTCAAACTTGTGATCCTCCTGCCTCAGACTCCCAGAGTGCTGGGATTACAGGTGTGTATGCCACATCTGGCTCTGATGGAATTGTTTTTGAGTAGTTTTGGCCTCAGGTCAGCTACATGTATGGACTAGGCTGTAGGGAGGGCCTCTCCACATTCCCAGGACACAGTGCTATGTAGCAATGGGCATGAGCGGTAGCTCTGCCTGACACTGAGTAGATCTGTGAGATTTTCACTAGTGAGCTGATGGGCAAAGAAGCTAGGTGCCAAAGGATCCATACTACATGGTTTCCTTCATGTGAGACTAAACAGCAATGACAAGAGGCAGGCGAGGAGAACAGCTGCCCTGGGTGGGCTGGGGGCAGAGCACAGGGCCCCTGGTCTTTCAGGGTCTGAAGGGGTGGGTTTGCTTTGGATAATTATGCAGTGTGCTGGACGCCATGCTTGGGTACTTTTCCATAGATGTGTTGTCCTTGAATTAAGTGTTTATGTAAGAAGTAAAAAAAATAGTAAAAGCAAAGCAGACAATCAGTACGTACAGTCTTGCACGTGCTGTGGGGGTGAGCCAAGTGGGGAAGGGAAGAGAGCTGCTGGGCCATTTTAAGTCAAACAGTTATCTGGCCTTCGACAGTGCTGAGATCTGGGAATACCCAGAATATGGCTGAGAGACCACAAGACAAGCAAGGTGGAGGAGAGATTTTAAAATGAAGGACAGCTGGGCGAGGTGGTGCACACCTGTCATCCCAATACTCTGGGAGGCTGAGGCAGGAGGACATCACAGCCACTACCTCAGCAAGTTCGAGCCCAGCCTGGGCAACTTAGTGACTTAGCTGTCACAAAATTAGAAAAGGGCTGCAGATGTCGGACATAAGAGAAAAGGAAAAGCAAAGTGAAAAATCAGAACTGCCCAGAATTGTCAGAAGGCACCAGGTCTGGACTCTGGTACTGAGTGAATTGTCAGGAGAATAAATAAGAGGAGACTCATGACTGCGGTTCTCAGCATGAGCTCGGGCTGCGAGATGCAGTTTTCCTCTTCTGCCCTTGGATTGCTTTCAAAAGCAACACAGAGAAGGAAAAGAAGTCCGTTTCCAGCAGATGGAGACGATGTCATCGTGTGCAGACTCAGGATACACATCTGGGCTGCCAAAAGCAACTCTGGCTGCTGCAGGAGACCTGTGGCTGCCAGGCCACAGAGGCCCTGAAGAGGATGGTGGTGACAGCGTGACAGCAGGAAGCACAGCAGAGCACAGGGCGCAGGGGTCACAGACAGGGCCAGTGAAAGCACCCCTGAGGGACAGGCGGAAACAAGAGCCCAGAGCCTGCCAGCCAGGGAGGAAAGACAAAAGCAACAGTGCAGAAGATATGAGGAGCTCAACGATCAGCCCTTGCAGATGGTCTGCAGAGGACAGGAAGGAGGGCAGGAAGAAGAAAAGTCACCCAAAGAAAGCCGGAAGAGTCCAAAAAGGACCAGGGAGAAAATCCCAGACATAAAGGAAAACCAAGGAGAATCATTAAACCCATAAATGGAGCCTCTGGAAAACTAGATAACAGAGCAGAATAAGTATTTTAACATATAATTAAAGACAACTCGCATGGGGAAATATAGGTAGTTTGTTGTTATTTTTGTTTTTTTAAATAAATGGTGCCTGAACAATCAGATAGCCACATACAGATTAATTCAAAATGAATCATAGAGCTAACTGTTAACAATTAAACCTATAAAATTCTTTTTTTTTTTGGTACCGGGGATCAAACTCGGGACCTTCCGCTTTCGAGGAAAGCACTGGAACCACTGAGCTAAATCCCCGGCCCACCTATAAAACTTTTATAAGAAAATATAGGAGTTGGGCCGGGCACTTAGTTCAGTGGTGCCGCCACCTGCCTCACAAGCGAAAGGTCCCGAGTTCGATTCCCGGTACCAAAAATATATATATATATATATATAGGAGAAAAATCTTCATGACCTTAGGTTAGGCAAAGAGTTCTTAGATATGACACCATAAAAGAAAAAATTGGATTTGATTCAAATTAAAAATAGAGCATGTGTACTTCAAAGGACATGATTAAGGCCAGGCATGGTGGCACACACTTGTAATCCTAGCACTCAGGAGGCAGGAGGATCACCATGAGTTCAAGGCCAGCCTGGGCAACATAGAAAGACCTTGTCTCAAAAACAAAAAACACCAAGGGCCAGGGAGTTAGCTCAGTGGTTCCGGCACCTGCCTCACAAGCTCAAGGTCCCGAGTTTGATCCCTGGTACCAAAAAAAAAACCAAAAAAAAAACACCATTAAGAAAATAAAGACAAGCCATTAGAAATCATTATAAAGAAAATTAGAAAATCATACATCTGATGAAAAACTTGTATCCAGATTATATAACCAACCCTTACAACTCAGTAAGATAAACTAAAAGATAAATTAAAAAATGGACAATAGATTTGAACAGGCCCATCATCAAAGAAGATAGATGGTTAAGCACACGAAAAGATGCTCAGTATCTTTAGATATTAGGAAATAGAAATTAAAACCACAATGAAATATCACTACATGGCCACTATAGTAAATGTAGTAGAAAAGACGGGTGATAAATATTGATGTGGATATAAGAAACTGAAATCATCTTATATTGCTGGGGAAATATAAAAAGGTGCAACCACTTTAGAAAAGTTTGGCAGTTTCTTGCAAAACCATTCCACATCTACATATTTACCCAAGATAAATGAAAGTGCATATTCACACAAAGACTTGTACCTGAAAGTTCATAGCAGCGCTATTCCTAATACCAAAGAAGTAGAAATGATGTCCATCTCTGGGGATTGCTACATTTATATGACAGGATATATTTCTTCTTTCTTGTTTTGCAGAACTTGGGTTTGAACCCAAGGCCCTGGGCATGCTAGGTAAACAGCTCTACCTCTGAGCTATATTCCCAGTCCAGCTATTTGATGATAAAATGGAATGAAGTATTGCTGCATGCTACACCATACATAAACCTCAAAAACATTATGCCAAGTGTAAAAAGGCAATGCAAAGACTATACATGGTATGATTTCATTTATATGAAATACCCAGAAAAATAAACTCACAGAGCAATAGATTAGGAGTTGTGTGGGCCTGGGGAACCACTACAAATAGCACTAAGGGATCTCTTGGGACAATGGAAATATTCTAAATCTGGGCATGGTGGTGACTGTCCAAATCTCACAGGAAACAAACATTTGTGTGTGTGGGGGGGGGGATACTGGGGATTGAATCTTCACACTAGGCCACATTCCACACCCTTACTATTTTTTAAATTTTGAGAGAGGGTCTTACTAAGTCACTAAATTGCCCAGGCTGGGCTTGAACTTGCAATTCTGCCCCCATCTCCCAGAGTACAAGGGTTACAGGCATGTGTCATTACACCAAGCTAAAACTAGTGAATTTTAAGGCATATAAATTTTTAATTTTTAGGGTATGTACATTTTATGATATGTAAATTATACTGCTAAGTGAATTACTTACTAATAAAAAGAGATTTTACTCATCAACACAGATGCAAAAATCCTAAACAAAATCTGTAGAAGGTTGGGCATGTTGGCACATGCCTGTTGGCCAGATAGCTGGCTGAGGCAGGAGGAGCACAGGCCAGAGACCAGCCTAGACTTAGTGAGAACTTATCTGAAAAACATTTTTTTTGGTACCAGGGATGGAACTCACAACCTTGCACTTAGGAGGCAGGCATGGTGCCACTGAGACAAATTCCCAGTCCAGAAAAAAATTTTTTATAAAAGGGTCAAAGTATACCTCAGTGGTATAGTATTTGTTAGCATGTGTAAGACCCTAGGTTCTATTCCTAGTACTGTTCCCCAAAAAAGAAAAAAGTGCAATGTATAACAAAGATAACATAAGGTATATGTGCAATTTTACTGTTATAACTCCACTGTGTATTAACAGTACTATTTATATGAGTGATATTGGCATAAGGATAGAGAAATAAATTAATGAAACAGAATAGACATTCTAGAAAGAGACAATAATATATGGTTAATTGATTTTCAACGAAGGTGTCAAACTAATTCAATGTGGGAATGAACAGTATTTTTCAGCAAATAATGATGAATCGGATATGTATGTAGAAAAAAGAGAACCTCAATTCCTCCTTCATATGATTTATAAAAAAAAAGTCAAATTAGATATAACCCTAAACAAAGAGGCTAAAACTATAAAGCTTGTAGAATAAACACAGGACAACAGCTTCATGATCTTAGGGCATGATCTAATGCAATTATTTTTTGGACCACGTAATGTACTAGCCATAAATGAAAATAAAATCAACAAATTGAACTTTATCAAAATTAGAAATCTGTGATCTTCAAAAGACACTGTTTAGAAACTGAAAAACCAAGCCACAGATTGGAAAATATTAGCAAAGGACCTATATCCAAAATATAAAAGAATGCCTGCAATTCACTATAAAAAGGCAAACTCAGTAAACAGTCCATTCACCAAAGAAAGGTACAAGAATGTTCAATTCGCTATATTTTACATGGGGTCGTGAGTTCATGATTATACAGATCTGGCAAGAGATTTAATGTACAAATCAGGAAGAAAAATACAGCCAAATGAAATAATGGATAAAAGACATAGACAAGGTTGTTTCGGGTTTTTTTTTTAACAGATAAACAAATGCCTGCATCCATATGAGAAGAGGCTCAGCCCTCATTTATAATCAGGCAAAAGCAAATTAAGGCCCAGTAAGACACTATTTCACATTCACTAGATTGGCAAAAATTAAAAGGCTAGGCAACAAGTCCTGGTGAGAGAGCAGCATCACAGGAATTCTCATACCATTCTGATGAGAGTGTAATTTGGAATAATCACCTTTGTCTTGAGATTCTCTTCCACTCCCAGGTATATAATTTAGAGGAAGCCTTGCACTTATGACCAGGAGACGTGTACAAGACTGTTTATAACAAAATTATTATACTAGCAAAAAGAGATACAACCTCAGTGTCTACATATACCACATAATTTGTGGTATAATCATACGGCAGAATATATACACAAGTGAAAATAAACCCGTATAAAAATGTAATGTTGAGCAAAAGATTTAAGTTTGCAGATGAATAAGATTAAGAGTCCACTTACATAAAATGTTCCATAAGTTAGGGGTAAAGATTAAAATAAAGCAAAGGATGATAAACACAAGGGACAAGACCATGATTATTTTGGGGCAAATGGATCTCAGAAGGCCAAACAGGGACCTTTTCAGACACTGACAATTTTCTATTTTCTGAGCTGGGTGGTGAGTTCATGGGAACCCATTCTTTTTAAAACTGTAAAGATATTTTCATACTTTTGTGTGCACATATCATAATATAAAAACCAAGAAGAAACTTAAGCTAAAAGAAAGAAACCAAGGGCCAGGGATTTAGCTCAGTGGTTTCACCACCTGCTGTGCAAGCGCAAGTACCCGAGTTCAATCCCCGGTACCAAAAAAAAAAGAAAGAAAGAAACCAGGCACAAAGGACCATATATCGTATGACCCATGAACACGAAATGCACAGACTAGTGTTTGGAGATGAGGGAGAAGTGGGGAGTGAGCAGTAATGGGCCTGGGGTTTCTTTTTGGGTTGAAGCAGATATTCTAAATATGATTGTGGTGATGGATGCTCAATGCTGTGAATATGCTAAAATCCACAGGGTTGTATGCTTCAAATGGGCAAATGGTATGGCATGTGAATTATGTCTCAACAAAGCTTTTGTTTAAGTAACAGGCCAAGAAGTGGGGTGCACAGAAAGGCTCTCAGTGGGTGATAGGTGAGGCTGACAAAGATAAAAGGGAGACAGTATTGCTCTGTGGCAGTGGGTCTCAAATTTTAGTATGTACTCAAATCACGGTTTTGTTAAAATACAGTTTCTGAGGCTCCATCTCCAGGTTATCTGATTCTATAGGTGTGGTGTGGGGTCCAGTCTGCATTTCTTCTTTTTTTTTTTAAATTTTGAGACGGGGTCTCACTATGTAGTTCAGGCTGGCCTTGAACTCACTATGTAGCCTAGGGTGGCCTCAAACTCATGATGATCCTCCTGGCTCAGCCTCCCAAGTGCTGGAATTACAGGCATGCTCTACCATGGCCAGCTACTTTTTGTGGTACTAGAGATTGAACCCAGGGTCTCATGCATGTTAGGCAAGTGCTATACCACTGAGCTACACTCCTTTTGAAAAATTTTTATTGAGGGCCTGGGATTTGGATCAGTGGTTCTACTGCCTGCCTCACAAGTGCAAGGTCCTGAGAGTTCAATCCCCAGTACCAAAAAAAAATTTATTGAGACAGAATCTCACTAAATTGCCTAGGCTGTCCTGAAAATTGAAATCCTCCTGCCTCAGCCTCCTGAATAGCTGGGAATATAGCTGTATGCTCTCACACACAACAAGAATCTGCATTTCTAACAAGCATGCAGGTGATGCTGCTGGCCCCGGGACTGTGCTACTCTACAGTGCCTGATATAGGTGCCCAACAAATCTCCATCGGATGAGTGAGGGGATAGGTGTTTGGTTGGGTGTTTAAGATGTTGGATGGCTTGGAGCTGAAGGGCTGAAGGATGTGTACATGAGTAGATGGATGAAGGGAGAGTGGGCGGCAACTGGCTGGCTGGGAGGTTCAGGGGAACAGGAGAAATGGGGTCAGGGAAGTAGTGATGTGGAAAGTCATGGGAAGAAGGACTTGAATTTGACAATCACCATCATATATCACCGGGCTGTACTGAGTGGTGGACACCAGAGGCTTGTAATTCAGGTCCATCTTGTTTCCATAGTGGCCGATGCTGACCTCAAACTGGATCAGGTCTTTAAAGTTGGGCATCATGGTACAGGAGAGGAAGATGACACATAGCCCATACTTTTGGCGGTTCTGGTGTTTCTAGAACAACATCCCCCATGGCCCAGGGCATAAACCAAGGGATGACAATGTTCTACCGAGGTAGGGAGGTGAGGAGATGCCCTGTTCTCTCAAAAGCCCCCTCTGCTTCCTTGTAGGGTTCAAGATTGCTGACCGCTCTTCTTCCCCCTCCTCTCTGCAGACTCCTCCTCTGCATGCCTCTTAGACTTCGGTGCCCTGTTAGGCTAGGTCCCTTCTTTCCACTCCACCTACCTGGCAGATTGATGACCCTATGCTTAGCAGCTCCCTAGGCTAGGCTTGGAGGGTGTCTCACAAGGACATACCAGAGATGGGATCCATCATCACCCCTGCACCTGCTCCTCCTCCAGGGAGCCCAGCTTGGTGTCTGCCATCCCTGGCCACCTCATCCCCAGAGGCAGCAAAGGGACGAGACCTTGGGGGAGTCAGCCTCCTTCCTACTTCCTGTTGGCCAGTGGCTCCGACTGTTTTGTTTCTACAGTGCCCCTAGGATCTGACTCCTTCCTTAAGCTCTCCTCCAAGGAGACTGTATCCACATTTCCCCTGACCCGGTAATCTCAACTTACTCCTCTCCAGTCTATTCATGTGGGGCCAGGGAGGAGCGGTTACCTCTTTCCCATGCTTACCTCAATTCTGGCCACTTCCTGGGAGAGATCCTTTATCATAGTGTGTTGATGGGACTTGATTTGGGTGATTAACTCCAGGAGGACTCGGCCTCGGTAAGATAAACCATCCCTAATAGCATCAGGAACACTCTGGGAGCAACAAAGAGAACAATGGAGAGAAAAGGGAAGAAAGCAGATGATTCTGCCTGGAAACTCCCACAGCAAAGAGGAGGCTGTGGGGTGTGGGGGGGACCTCCAGATCCCAGACACAGCCATACCAGGAAATCTCTGGGCCCAACCTCTCCTTTGCCCCTTAGCATCCAGCACTCTTGTCCTGCCTTCCAACAGCCAGCCAACTTGAGGGACCTTGCACCAGGCAAATGCTCAGAAGTTAGCAGGCACTGTGATAATCACAGCATGTGCTCCCAGCCTGGTCAATCAGGGTGTGCCCCAGCTCCTTGGTGACAGGGATTGGTCCAAAGAGAGCACACATGACCTAAGGAGACCAACCAGAATGCCTGCCTAAACCAAGGCATGGCAGCGCTTGGATTCCAGTATAACAAGAGGATGAAACAGGAGGATCACAAGTTCAAAACCAGGCAGCCTGGGCAATTTAGCGATTTAGCAAGAACTTGTTTGAAAATTTAAAAATCTGAAAAAGGGCTGGAGATGTCGTTTAGTAGGACGCCTCTGGATTCAGACTGAGGCAAGCAGGAGAGAATGAGGGAAGGCAGAATTAAGGGTGGAAAAGGAGAGAGGGAGTGAGGAAAAGAGCCTCCTACAGGCCTTCCTCACGGTCTTTCCCAGCCTCCTTCCCTTTTCCTTTCCCAACTCAGGTTGGGTTTCTGGCATTCATCACCTGTTTTTTGAGACAGGCTGGCCTTGAACTCACAGAGATTTTCCTGCCTCAGCATCCTGAGTGCTGGGATTATAGCGTGTGCCACCACACCAGGCTCTTCTCACCTGTTTTGAATAACCTCATGCTTTTCCGTGTTTACCTGGGCTACATCTTTTCCTCTTGCAGAACTCTTACCACAGGGCCCCATGGCCCTTGCTCTGTTCCTTCCTCGGCCCTGCTTGTGCCCCAGATACACCCGGCTCTGGCTCTGGCTCCAGCAGGCAGAAGCCAGGACTGAGCCCCCCAGGAACTCCCAGGCCCTGGTGCTCTCTACTGGCCAGTGTCTCTAAAGTGGTGGTAAAGCTTACAGTGCCTTCTTCCTGGATCCTGAGCGGGGCCTTGGGACCCCCATAGAGGGGCAGGAAACTGGGACCAAAGCAGGGCAGGAAGCCCAAGAAGTGGCCTGCAAGGAGAGCAGAGCTTGAGAGGAGGGTGGGCCAGGGCTGCATGCGGGGGTGGGTGGGGGTAGGGATGCTTGCCTCCGATCTCCTCCCCGGAGGAGGAGATGTGGCCCAGCGACAGGCTGGCAGTGCCGATCTCAGCCCAGCAGTCACTCCTGGAACTGTGGAGAGAGTGCAGCAGGCTGAGCTGGCAGCCCTGGTGTCCACTCCCCTGCACCGCTCTGGGTCTCGCCCAGTGGCTCACCAGTCCAGGGCTCGGAACTTGATGTAGCTGGAGAGGCAGGGCAGCTGCGGGGGCAGGAAGAGCTCGTGAGCACATGTGGAGGGGAGGGCCCCTCGTTTTCCAGTGCTGGGGACTGAACTCAGGGGTTGTGTGCTGAGCTACATGCCTAGCCCTCTTTTAATTTGGAGACAGGGTCTCTCTAAGTCCCAAAGATCAAACATGCGATCCTCCTGCCTCAGCTTCCCAGAGTACTGGGGTTACAGACATGCACCCCCACACCTGGCTTCTCTCAGAGATGTTAAGAGCGGTGGGGGAGTCCTGGGTCTGCAGCCTGGCTCAGTTATCTTTAATCACAGGTGAGCTGGATTTCCCATGGAGCTCACGGGGCTTTAGCTTTAGGGGCCCCTGCAAGGGCTGGGACTGTGTTCATTTATCATTTTGTATTCTTATGCCTGTATTTGATTTTACTTTGACTCGGGCTGTGGAACTCAGGACCTCAGGCCTGCCAAGCTCTACTGCTGGGCCACATCCCTAACCCTTATGTTCTTGCTGTTAAAGCAGCAGGGCCTGAGAGACCTCGGCCCACCCTGCCTGTGGACTGATCCAGGATTATGGTCCCCATAGCCCTTCTCAGTCCTAAACACACTCATCAAATCCTGATGGCACAGGCCATCAGCTTTCTGAACAGCAAAGGGTAAATAATAATAGCTTCAACTCTGGCAGGGTTTCTGTTGTCCCCCAGCCCATACAGCAACTGAGTGAAATGCCAAGACTCCCCCACTGATGAGGTGCTCATTCTCATTGGGGAAACTGAGGCACGAAGAGGTTGAGTTCCTAAAATTCTCATACTGCATGCAGGGGTAGGTGCCTCAGAGGTCTTACCAGCCACTCCCTAATCCAGTGAGGGCTGTGATGGGTCCCTCCATGCAAATGGGGGTGAGGTCCAGAGACCTGCTCAAGGTCACATAGTAAATGGTGGAGTCAGGATATGAGCCCCAGCTTCTGAGTCCCCACTTTGTTGTTCCCTTGGTTGTTAATGCACAAGTGAGGGCCCACCCATATGCACAGCAGAGGTGCTGGGCTTGAGACACAAGTAGGACCCCGAGTCCCTGGAGCTGGGGTGGCTGGAACCTCCCAGGTCCTCACCCTTCTCATCTGCCTCCAGCTGCCCTGGTGACTGGGCTGAGAGAGGATTTGGAGAGCAGCTTCAGGCTGGGCACCTGCTCAGGAAGAGGGAGGCTGTGGCCCAGACTCAGGGGAGAGATGTGCACCACATGACATCTGGGTCTTGATCAAACTCATGGTAGAGCTGCCTTTTCCTCTACCTGTTCAGTCTCCTAACCTTCCCAGGCTCCTTGCCTTGACTCTAGCACACTGTCCCCTCCTGCTCTGGGATCCTGGATGGGCCACTGGCATGGGCCTGCACCCAAATGACCCCAGTTCTGGGGATCATATTTGGGGGGAGAAGAGTAAGGTCCAGGGGTGTATGGAGACCTTGCTAAGTCCACAGCATCCACATGGCATCTGAGGGCCTGGGTCATCGGTCCTTGTCACAGCCAGGAAAAGGTGGCAGGGAGCCCAGCAAAAGTGATGGAGGGATTCGGCTACCTCTGAGATCTCTTCCTACTTTAAGAACCTATAAAATCAAGCTAGGTACATGGTAGCACAGGCCTGTAATCCTAGTGCTCTAGAAGGCTGAGGCAAGAGGATTGCAAGTTTGAGCCCAGCCTGCAATTTAGTGACTTAGTGAAATCCTGTCTCAAGAAGGGAGGGCAGGAATGTGGCTCAGTGCAAAGGCCCCAGGGTCAATCACCAGTACTGGGAAAAAATGTCTATCAAATCCTTCAAGGAGGTGAGGCATATGAGGAACGGTTCTAAATGATGCCTCACCAGTGGGCTGACTGGCAAAGCTTCTAGAAGCAGCAGGAGGGAGTGCAGAGAAGGGAGTTGGATTCATATCATACACGTGAGGTAAAGAAAACAAAACCCCCTGGGGAGCTGGGCTGCTGTTACCCAGAGTTCTGTGCATTTTTACTTGACAGAGCTTTAGCTGTCTCTCAAAATGATTTATCCTCATTTCCACATAGCCAGAAGCCTGGCATGTAGTCACAGGGTCATTAAGGCTTCAAGACAACAGTCACCCCTGTGGCTGTTGAGTAGGGAACCTCAGAGAAGAGCATCTTGGAGCCAGTCAGCAGAGGAACAAACAGCTTTGTGCCACGTACAGCCCAGAGCAGTGACCATGCCCTGAGCACCTCTACAGCATCCACATGGCATCCAGTTGTCTCCAGAACACACTGCCCACAAGATGAGGCATTTTAAAATGAGAGAATTTAAAGGGTTTTTTTTTTTTGGCAGTACTGGGGATTGAATCCAGGGCCTTCACACTGAGCTACATCTCCAGCCCTTTTTCATTTTGAAACAGGGTCTTACTAACTCACTAAATTGTCCAGGCTGGGCTTGAACTTGTGATCCTCCTACCTCAGCCTCTCAAAGTTCTGGGATTCCAGGTGTGTACCGCCAAGCTCAGCTTTGAACAAGTCTTGAGAGTGATGTGTTTTCTTTTTTAATGTGAGTGAACAAGCATGTTTAAATTCTCTGGAAAGCCTAGGCCTGTGGTCCACTCACTGCTTGGTACTGGATAAATAAGAATAGGGTTCTTCGGAAGTCCCAGGGTCTCCTTGGACTGCCCACAGGCAGAGATGTCCGGCCCCACCTCCCATCTCCACTGCAGACACTACCATCGGCAGGCGGCACGGGCAGCCATACCTGGATCTGGAAGGTCAGGATCTGGTTCCATATCGGGTTGTCAGTTTGGGGTCGCACATTTGTCCTGAGCTGAGAACACCCAAAGCCAGGTCAGTGACAGGCTGTCCGTTTAGCCACCTTGGCCTGCCAGCCCTGGCCTACCCAGCCAAGGGCAGACCACCCAGGCAACAGGGCTAATCCCAGGCCTCAAGTTTCTCTTGGACAATTTCTCATCAGCTCCAACTTCTTTTTTTTTTTTTTTTTCCAGTACCAGGAATTGAACTCAGGACCTTGCTCTTGCCAGGCACTGAGCTACATTCCCCAGCCCAGCTCCAACTTCTTTTGTGTGGCACTCCAGAGGGAACCCAGGGCCTCACACCTGCTGGGCAAGCTCCCCACCCCTGAGTTCCACTGCCAGCCCTTTCACTTTCAAGTGGATACAGATAGGACTGCTGACTTTATTATATGAGTGCACATAGATTTTTTTAGGTAAATTTTGAGCTCCCAACAGAAAAATGATCAAAACCACATCATGGCAGCAGCACTCCCATTTAAAAACCATCAATTGATTTTGTTTTTAATAGACTGAGTGAGCTGGGTGTGGTGATAGATGCCTACCTTCCCAGCACTTAGGAGGCTGAGGCAGAGGATCCCTGCAAGTTCAAGGCCACCCTGAGTACATAACGAGACTGTCTCAAAAAACCAATAATAAATAAATAAATGAATAAATAAATAAGTCCATGGATTCTTGGTACTTCTCCCTTGAAAGGGTGGACATTAATAGCCCCTCCCCAAGCAGAATAGAAATGATGATTTGTGAATCTGACACAAAGCTGTTCCCCAGATTTGAGTGCCGGACCCTTTATTGCATGTAACATTCACCAGCACACTTTGGAAAATGCTACTCTGTATTCATAGAAGTTTATGGAATGTCACCAATTCTCTTGCTGGGAATTTTTACTTTCTAGATGAGGAAACTGAGGCCAGAGGGGTTGGTAATGGTTTCAATATTTTTGTTTTGCATGTTTTGGGGTTTTTTTGTTGTTTGTTTTTTGCAGTAACGGGGATTGAACTGGGGCTTTCAATCTGAGCTACAACCCAACCCCTTTATTATTTTATTTTATATTTTGGTTTCTTGAGACAGGGTCTCCCTAACCATGCCTGGCTATTTTTTATTTTGAGACAAGGTCTTGCTAATTTGCCCAGGCTGGCCTCAAACTCACTGCAAAGGCAGCAATCTTCCTGCCTCAGCCTTCCAGAGCACTGGGACTACTCTGGGACCACCACCCTGGGCCTCAGTGTTGTTCTTTTGTTGGCATGCTGTTTCATTTGCCCATTACTCCCCATCTAGCTGGATGTTTGGGTCCGGGTGAGCACCTTCTCCCTGCCAGATGCTGAGAATCAGGAATATTCGACCTGACCTCTCCACAGAGCTTCAGGCCCAGAAGCCGCCCTTCCCCTGGGTGGCTGAGTTGGGACATGACTTCGAGGTCCTTCCCTGCAGCACACACTTCCTTCACACTGCATCTAGGGGGTTATTGCCTGGGTCTCCAACCCTTTCTCCACATACCTTTTCCCCGATTAGTTCCACTTCCAACACCAGACTCACTGACTGGTTCCTCCCTGTGAAGAGAAATGCAGGGACTTCTGAGACACCAGCATCTCTTTTTTTTTTGGTACCAGAAGTCAAATTCAGGATCTTGCACTTTCAAGGGAGGTGCGGCACCACTGAGCTACATTCCCAGCCCAAGCAGCATCACTTTTTAAGGAGGAAATGCAAAGTGACACAGCAGCTTCAAACCCTCTCCCAAGACCCAGTGTGGGTCCCCTGGGCAGGGGTGTCTTCGTTACCATTCTGCCCTTCTGCGTGTCACCCTCGCAATGGCCCAGGGTGGGGCCATGGGATGGTCATGGGACCCTCGGGTCCACACATGGGATCAAAGGCACCACTGAAAGGGAGGCCACGGGGCCTGTGTCATTCGTGGTGGAGCTCAATGTCATCTGTTCCCCGGCCCAAATCTTAGGTTAGTGTCAGAGGGATGAGGGAGCCCCATGAGGACCTGGGGTGCCCCCGCTCTGCTCCCCGACTCTAACCGAGGAGCAGGTCCTCTGCACAGTAGATGAAGAGCTGCAGGTAAGCCATGGTCGTCGGGACAGCCGTGGACTTGAAGACCTCGATGTCCATGTCGGCCCTATAGGGCAGCTTTTGATCCACCTGGAGAGACCAGAGAGCTGGGTAGGCTCAGGGTCATGGGGCTGTCACAGCCAAGGCTACCCACTCTGTGTCCCCAACCTCCCACTTGGTTTGGGGAGAGTGGGCCAACCCTGTTGTGGCATCGTGGACAAAGGGAAGGATTTGCAGGTGAATGGCCACTTTGAGGGCCCAGGGGTGCCCCAGGTAGCAGCCAGCCGGACTTGGAAATGTCATGGGGCTTAGGAGACAGACTCACCAGGGCCTGGTCTCCCACACCAAGGGCACAGATGGTGACTTTCAGGTAGCCTCTCACCCCACTGCTGGGTGCATTTGGCTGGCAAAGGCCCAGCCATTTCCTCAGAAGGGTGTGGCCTGGAGAAGCAGAGTGTTGTGGGAGACCAGCCCCTGGCCTCCACTGCTCTCCCCTAAGCCACTTCATTTCTGTTTCTGGGGCAGACAGGGAGGGACACATGTCTCCTATGTGCTGGTTCCCTTTGGTAGCACAGGGAAACAATGGTCACTTCTCCAGGTAGACAATGATCATACGCTCACAAAGCTGCCAAGTGTTGCCTCTGGGAAAGAGAGCCCCTCTGGCCACCCTGAGAAGCAGCTGAGAAGATGGGTAATGGGTCAGTGATACAGCTGAGAGGAGGGAAGGGAACAAACCTCCAATGTTCTATTTCACAGTAACCTAACTATGCTTCCTTCCCTTCCTCACCTTGGTAGTAGTGATTGAACCCTGAGGTCCTCTAGCATTGAGCTACATTCCCCAGCCCTTGATTTGTTTATTTATTTATTTTTATTTGGAGTCAGGTCTCACTAAATTTCCCAGACAGGACTGAAATTTTCGATCTTCCTGCCTCAGGCAGGTTGATGATCATTGTCTATTTCAAAATAGCTAGTGGAAAGGATTTTTAATACTGACACAAAGAAATGATAAATATTTGAGGTGATAGTGATACCAACTAGCTTGCTCTGATTGTCACATTGTATACATGTATTGAACTGTCACTCTGTACCCCCTTAAACATGTACCATTATTAGCTGTCAATTAAAGATGTTAGGAACAACCTCATTCTCTCAATTCTGGGTTGAAAAAATAGAAATCCAACCAAAGGTTGGAATAAAAGGTTAGCATTCAACTCAAAGGGGTGCCTTGAACTTTCTAGAGAAAGATGCTATTATTATAGTAAGATAAAAATACCATAGAGTACAAGAAAATATGATCAATACAGAAAATAACTCATACCCCACAATACTCTCCCCCATTTTCTAGAGATGCTGAGTTGGTCTGACCCTGATTTGATTTTTCTTGCACATATTTGCAGCCACCATTACCTACCTGGAGAATGGTAGACAAACCCGATGTCTGTCTGCAAAGACAAGGGTGGGCGAGCGTCAGAGCCCTGCTGTACCTGGATCTCAGGCCCCTGAGGGAAGGCTTGGCCCCACTAGTGCTGCAGGGAGGAGGGGATCCAGGAGGTGGTTTCAGGTCACTGGGGCTGTGCCCTCAGTGGGGATCTCAGGCCCTGTCCCTCCCCTTTCTCCCCTTTGCTTCCTTGTCACGAAGCGAGTAGCTTTGGCCTGCCACATGTCCCCACTACGATGTAACACCACAGGACCTAAGTAACCAGGCTAACCAGAGAAATGCAAGTCAAAACAGTACTGAGATTCCATCTTACTCCAGAAAGAATAGCCATCATCAAATAATAATAACAATGCTGGTAAGGCTGTGGGGAGAAAGGACCCCTCCTACACTGTTGATGAGAATGTAAACTAGCGCAACCACTATCGAGATCAGCATGGAGATTCCTCAAAGAACTAAAGCTAGAAATTCCATTGGACCCACCTATTCCCCTTCTAGATATCTTCCTGAAAGAGTTAAAGACATCATATACAGTGACCCATGCTTACCCATGTTTAAAGCAGCACAATTCATAATAGCTAAATCTTGGAAGTAGCCTATATGTCCATAGACAGATGAATGGATAAAGAAAGTGTGGTATTTACACACAACAGAGTACTACTCATCCATAAAGGAGAATAAATTTGAGTCATTTGTAGGAAAATGGATGCATCTTGAGACCACCATGATGTTAAGTGAAAGAAATTAAATATATAAGCTTAAATGTTGTATGGTTTCTCTTATATGAAAAACCTAAATTATAAAGAGCAAAATAAAAGATAGATAATAGGAAGAAGGGAGATAGATCTTTTGCAAATGAGAAAGGGACCAAGAGATGGAGGGAAGGGGGAAGCAGGGGAGGGAAAGAGAAGGGGATGCAAAAAGAATTACGATGTGTTATGTACAGGTACCAACTCCCCACTAATCATTATGTACTGCAAACATGTATTCATAAATATAGAAATTTGAAAAACAACACAAAGTAACCAGGCCAATGATCATGACCTGAAACTTCTAGAACTGTGAACCAAAATAAACTTTCTCGCTCATAAGGTTATTGCCTATTTATCATAGTGACAGAAAGCTGATTATTAAGCCTTCCCCTGAGATTTGTATACCAGCTAAGTAGGTGAGAGAACTGTGTTGGTCAGCTTTTGGCCACTGGGGCAAAATACCTGACCCTGCAACTTAAAGGAAGAAAAGTTTATTTTGTCTCTCAGTTTCAGAGGGTTTAGTCCATGGCCAACTGGCTCCAAGGCAGGAACATCATGGCAGAAGGGTATGGCAGAGGAAAGCCCCTCCACTCACAGCAGCCAGAAAGGAAAGAGCAGGGAAAGAATCTAAGAAGAAGGGGTCAGGGACAGATGTAGTCCCCAAGATCACGTCCCCATGACCTGCTTCCTCCAGCTGGGCCCCACCTCCTAACAGCCTCTCCAGGAGCCCCTTAATCCAGGCAGTTGACAATTCAGATTAACTGGCACAAGTACTCACTGCTGGTGTTTGAGCACAGTCTTGGCCTTAAACAACTCAGAAGGGAGGTCCATTGTCAGCTCCTGGCCAGGGGAGGATACTGAGTTTGAGAGAAGGCCTACAGTCTAACAGTTACTGAGCTTGTACTGGAAGGACCTGGCACCCAACATGGTCACACCAGCCAGCTTGACCTTGACTCTTCCCTGTCCTCGGGGTCACTCACACTGTTGTGCCACACCACTGAGCAGAAACTAAATTGTTACCTAACCTTCCAAGACATAAGGAGGCTGAGGGAAGATAGCCACATTTCAAACAGGCCAGTGGGCAGGATAATGAAGTCCATTCATCTGCTTTAATCTTTATATTCTTACATCCTTAGCCATAATGTTAAGTGAGATAAATCAGACACACAAGCTAAATACATAGTAAGGAAACCCAAAGTGTAAATACATTAAAGAGCACAATGAAAGACAGGCAATAGCAAATGGGGAGACAGATCTTTTGCAAATGGGAAAAGGAGCAAGAGATGGAAGGAGAGAGTGGGAGGGAGAGGGAGGAGAGGGGAAGAGGATGAAAAAAAATTAAGAAGTTTATATCCATGTACCAATTCCCCATGGTGAATGGAATCATTAGGTACTACAAATATGTACTCATAAATACAGAACTTTTAAAATAAAAAAATTTAGGGCTGGGGATTTAGCACAGTGGTGCTGCCGCCTGCCCTGCAAGCACAAGAACCCGAGTTCGATCCCCAGTACCTAAATAAATAAACTTAAAAAGGAACTTGAAATAATCTGATATTAACCACTCAGTTATTTTCTTGTTGTTCTGTCTTCCTGTACACATCTCAAAAAGAAAGTAACTTTGGAATGACCAATCTGCCTTTTGTTGTTTATGCTTCTTTGTGCACAAAACCCAGCTCTTTTGGTTTTGTTTTGGTGGGTTGGATCTTGCTAAGTAGCCCAGGCTGGCCTTGAACTCATGATCCTCCTGCCTCAGACTGTAGAGTTGCTGGGGTTGCAGGTGTGTGCCACCAGGCCTGGCAAAACCAACTTCTTCTGCTCGGCCCATAGAATCACTTGTTCTATTTCAGGGAATGATGTGTTGCCTCATTCTAGAATCTCAAAGCTAATTAAAATCTTTAAACCAAGTTTTTATAATTTCATTCTCTGACACATCTAAGAGGGATCTGTTCCTTATCTAACAAAGAGGCTATCAGGCACCCTCAGGGTGGTAGGGCTGCACACTGCTGATCTAAGATTCAAATGCAACAGGCCATCTGGTCTTTAATATAGCAATCTACCTTTTCCTGCTCTTCCTGAATTTGAAGAGTGTTGGGTTAGGCCTTCATGACTGTGTGAAATCCCTCATCTCCCAGTCTGTGTTTCCCAAATCACATCTATTCACTTTGTGCTCACATCCTCTCTCTCTCTCTCTCTCTCTCTCTCTCTCTCTCTCTCTCTCTCTCTCTCTCTCTCCAATTTAGCTTGGCCTTTTTGGGACCTCTGCTTCCATTAGGCAGAGATGTGAACTTTGTCCAGCTCATGGGTTTGGGTAATTCAACATTGTGCCCAGTACTTCCCTAAATGTAATCCTCACAATGACACTGTAGTTTGGGTGTATAATTAGTCCCATTTTACAGATGAGGAAGTAGAGGCTTGTCTGCATCAGTTAGTAGGAGTAACTTGTTAAGTTAGTAGGTGCATCCAAATCTGGATCTTTCTGTGTGAAAATCCCCTACACTCTACAACTGTCTCTGCCATCATTTTTACAAAGCCTCTTGTTTTATGTACAAGGCTCACCTGGAATCTCCCGATCTCTGCTTTGGATCTCATGACAGAGGAGTTCAGCACCTGCAAGGGAATTTCCAGGAAGATTTTAATTATTCACAAGCCTGACGTCCCCATCTCCCATGGAAGCAATAATAGGGCATATTCAGGGCCCTCCAGGATTTAACTGCTTCCTAATGGCCAACGCTTGCACATAGTTTTTCTCACTTATCTCTCTCTCAGAGGACCCCTGAGAGGTTCAGATTTTCAGGTCCATTTCTTTGATGAGGAAATTGATCAAAGGGTCTGATTCACTTGCCCCAGGTCAACACAAAGCTACATGTCTCAATAATTTCTCGCATTTCTCATTGGCTGTTTCCTCTCTGTCTCCCTCCTAAGAACATGCAAACACTTCCAGGGGAGAAGTCTCCTGTTCTCCTTAGGTACTTGGTAACCATGTAGTCTTCGGGGACATGAGTGTCTTTGGGGAGATGAGAACTCTGCCTAGCTCAGGGCCTGCCAGCTGGTGATCTATACATTTATAGAAAGAAAGAGAGAAAGAAAGAGAGAGAGAGAGAGAGAGGAATCTGCACTAGGAGGGGGTGAAGAAGGTGGTGGAGACGCTGCTTTTCAAGGAACGCTGGCTCTCAGGGTAGGAGCTGGGGCTGAAGTGCTTCCCAGGATTGAGACGGGACAAGGAAGTGGACCTGTTTTGCTGGGGACCAGTTTGGTCCTCACCTGGACTAAGATGATCTCATCAAAGAACTTTGCAGGAACCTCATAGAAATTCTGGAAGAAGATCTGCAGCAGAAAAAAATTGGGGCTGGCAGGCTGTGTTTCCTCCAACACTAAGCCTGAAGCCTCAGAGTACCATGCTTCTTCCCTGACTTTGCCCATTTCGATGGCTTCTCACTGACCAGCCCCCTCCCTCCTCTGGAAGCAGAGGGTTCCTGGGCTCCTGGTGGGTTCCCAGGTGACAGACAGCTCTAGGATGGTGATTCGAGCCTCTGTCTCCTGCATTGCCCCCAGTCCAGCCCACCCCTCTCCTGCAGTGCCCAGAACCCCTTCTCCTGTCACTTTCCTGTCACTTTCCTCCATGGCTCCTGAGTGCTGTCTGTGATGAGATCCCAACCGATACTGTAGGCTCACACCTGTATCTCCAGTTCTGCATCGAGCTGCTTCTTGCTTCTGGCTTTTGTTTATTGGTTTGTTTGTTTGTACCAGGGATCGAACTCAAAACCTTGCACTTGCCAGGCAGGTGTGGCACCACTGAGCTACATCCCAGGCCCTTGCTTCTGACTTTTGAAAATAAGGTTCCAGGTCCCAAGTTCAATCCCCGGTACCAAAAAAA